CCATTTTCCACTACCACAGGTGGTCTATGAGGGTCTCAGTTCTTTCATGTCCTTGTCAACCCTTGGTGTGGTCAGCCTTCAATTTTAGCCATTTTGGTGGGTCTGTCATGGTGACTTTATTTGTATTTCTTTGAGGACTAAGAATGTCAAACATCTTTTCTCATGCTTATTACCCATTTTATGTCTTCTCTGTGTTGAATTTCAAACTGTGTGAAGGTAATACCTATTTAAAAGTAAATGACTGGGGATCCCTGGGTGGCTCAGCGGTTTAGCGCCTGCCTTTGGCCAGGGGCATGATCCTGGGGTCCTGGGATCCGGTCCCAGGATCCGGTCCTGGGATCGGGTCCCAGGATGGGGTCCCAGGATCGGGACTCCAGGATCGGACTCCCTGCATGGGGCCTGCTTCTCCCTCTGCCTGTGTCTCTGCCTCTCTCTCTCTGTGTCTCTCATGAATAAATAAATAAAATCTTAAAAAAAAAAAAAAGTAAATGATCACATCCATTGGGGCGGGTTGTAACAAAAAAAAAAAAAAAAAAGAAGATAGGGGCACCTGGGTGGCCCAGTGGTTGAGTGTCTGCCTTTGGGGTCATGATCCCCGGGGTCCTGGGGTCAAGTCCCACATCAGGCTTTCCGCAGGGAGCCTACTTCTCCCTCTGCCTATGTCTCTGCCTCTCTCTGTGTGTCTCATGAATAAATAAAAATTTTAAAAATCTTAAAAAAAAAAAAAAAAAGAAGATAACCAGTGTTGGCAAGGATGTAGAGAAACTCACTATCCACTCAGGTGCTACAACAATCTCTGGTCCCCTTCTGGTCTCCACTCCAATACCTGGTCTGTGAACATGACCCATTAGTTCCAAATATGGCCACTTTTCTCCATATCCATGCTATTACCTGAATCCAAGCCATTATAACTTTTCCCTCTGGACTCCCTGAGGCCATTCTTGCCCACACAGAAGCCAAATGACCTTTCATCAAAACTCTTTTATCTTTTATATTTTTATAAAAAATATTTTATTTATTTATTTGAGAGAGTGAGAATGAGACAAAAAGCACAAGCAGGGAAGGGACAGAGGGAGAGGGAGAAGCGAACTCAGCTCAGCAGAGCGCCCGACATGTGGCTCCATTCCAGGACCCTGAGATCATGACCTGAGCCAAAAGCAGACATTTAAACCACTGAGCAACCCAGGCGCCCCTTACCAAAACTCTTCAAAAATTTTGAAAATTTGAAATAATTTTCTTTTCTGTCCTTTTAAAAAAAAATATTTTATTTATTCATGAGAGACAGAGAGAGAGGCAGAGACATAGGCAGAGAGAGAAGCAGGCTCCTCACAGGGAGCCTGATGTGGGACTCGATCCCAGAGCCCTGGGATCACGCCCTGAGCCAAAGACAGAAGCTCAACCGCTGAGCCACCCAGGTGTTTCTGAAATAATTTTCAATTTACAGATTTGTGCTACGGACTAAATGTCTCTGTCTCCTCTAAATGCATAGGTTGAAACCTAATCCTCAGTGTGATGGTATTAGAAGGTGGGACCTTTGGGAGGTGATTAGGTCATGAGATGGAGCCTTCATGAGTGGGATTAGGGCCTTATTAGGGGGGCTGGTGTTCACATGATTCTGCGTGCTCTCTCTCTCTCCCTGTCTCTCTCAGCCATGTGAGCATAGATCGAGGAAAGGCCTATATATAATCTAGGAAGTGGTCCCTCACCAGATACTGGCTATGTCAATGCCTTGGTCTTGGACCTCCCAGCCTCCAGAACCATGAGAAATAAATGTTTGTCATAAATTTACCCAGTCTGGCCACCTTGGTGGCTCAGTTGGTTAAGCGTCTGCCTTTGGCTTGGGTCATGATCTCAGAGTCCGGGGATCAAGCCCCACATCGGGCTCCCTGCTCAGCGGGGAGTCTGTTTCTGTCTCCTTCTGCCCCTCCTCCCTGCTCGTCCTCTGTCTCTCTCAAATAAATAAAATCTTAAAAAAAAAATTCACCCAGTCTATAGCATTTTTAGTATGGCAGCTCAATGGACTAAGATAATTTGCAAGGTTGGCACCCTGCAAATTTGCCAACTTCTTGTCTATCCTTCACCCCACTGGCCTGAATGTTAACATCTTGCGTAACGATAGTATAATTGTCACAACTAAGAGATTAACTAACATTGGTACTACTGTTCACTAAACTACACATTTAATATGAATTACACCAGTTTTCTCTCTGATGTCCTTTTCAGTTCCAGGATCCCATCCAGGACATCACATTTCATTTATCATGCCTCTTAAGACTTCTCTAATCCATCCCAATTTCTTGGTCATGCTCTGTTTCTCGTGACCTTGACATTTTTTTCAAGATTTATTTATTTATTTATTTATTTATTTATTTATTTATTTGAGAGAGAGAGAGGAGCAAGTGAAGGGGAGGGGCAGAGGGAAAGAGAGAATATCAAGCAGACTCCATGCTGAGCACAGAGCCCAATATGGGGGTCAATCTCAGGACCCTGAGATCATGACCTGAGCTGAAACCAACAGTTGGATACTTAAACTGACTGAGCCACCCAGGTGCCCCTCATGACCTTGACATTTTTTTAAAAAAAGATTTTTATTTATTCATGAGACACACCCACCCACAGAGAGGCAGAGACACAGGAAGAGGGAGAAGCAGACTTCATGCAGGGAGCCCAATGTGGGATTCAATCCGGGGTCTCCAGGATCTCAACCTGGACTGAAAGCTGCACTAACCGCTGAGTCACCCGGGCTGCCCTGACCTTGACATTTTTGAAGTGTCCCAGTCAGGTTTTTTGTAGAATGTCCCCCAATTTGGGACAAACATCTGATGTTTTCTCCTGAGTAGACTGAAGTTATGGGTTTGGGGGACAGTACCAGAGAGTGTTGTGTACTCTTCACATCATACCAGAGGTCCATGCAGATGACTCATTGCTGTGATGATAATGTAATGTTGGTTGAGGTAATATCTGCCAGGTTTCTCCGCTGTCAAGTTACTTTTTGCCCTTTCCATACTTTTATTCCTTAGAAACAAGTCACTAAATCCTGCCCACACCCAATAAGGTGAGTTAAGCTCCACCTCTTGAAAGGAGTAATAGCATACATTGTGTGGACATTTTTTTTTTTTTTTTGAGAGAGAGAGAGCACTTGATCCCACAACCCTGAGATCATGACCTGAGCAAAATCAGGAGTTGGACACCTAACCTAGTAAGCTATCCAGGCACCCCTGTGGACGTATATTCTTAAAAACCCAGTAATTAATAAATATTTCAGGAGAGATGCTTTTATGGTAAGCAAATGTCCCATTTCTCCTTAAAGTTTCATCCAGTAATTTTAGCACTCATTAGTAGATCTTGCCTGCTGCAATTATAACCATGTTGTTTGCCTGATAATGATTTTCTATTTCCCTCATTCCTTTTTTACTTATTAATTGCACATCTTCTATATGGAAGGGTGTTCTCTTTTCCCTCATTTTTTATTCAATCATTTATTTATACCAGTATGGACTGATTGGTATTTATTTAATTCTTTGGATCACAATGATCTTTTATTGTTAGTTTTTTTTGTTTTTGTTTTTGTTTTAAGTAATCTCTTCACCCAACACAGGGCTTGACTTCCAGGCCCTGAGATCAAGAGTTGCATGCTCTACCCGCTGAGCCAGTGAGGCACCCTATGGATCACAATGATCTTTTAACTCTCATATCAGATTCCATCATTTACTAAAAATCTCCAGAGACTTCTCTTTATGCTTAAGAGTAAAATCCAACTCTCTTGCTTACCAACACTCCCTGCCTGCTTTCTGGTGCTTTGTCTCCTTTCCTTGCTCATTTCTACTTTGGCCCAACTGGCCTTTTTGTGGTCTCTCAGTCAAGCCACCCTTATCCCTCTGAAGGCTTGGCCTTTCCTAGAATATTCCTCTTCCTCACCTGCACAGAGCCCCTCTTTGATTGCCTTGAGCAGCCTTCTTTCTTTCTTTTGATTTCTAATCCTTCCTGGAATTAGGTATCTGAAATCTATTTCCTTGTTTATCATCTGTCTTGTTCACCAGCGTCTAGAACACAGTAGGTGCTCAATAAATATTTGTTGACTAAATGAATGCATGAGGCTGGAAGAACGTGAAGAGCAAGATCCATTCACTTCCTCCCCGATTATAGTCACAGTTGAGGTGTACACATGTCAGGTACTCAGCACACTTCACTGTAAGCCCCGAAGTTTCATCCTGTGTAAAATGGACATAATAAAAGAACCTATCTGCAACTGTGGGTAAGATTAAATGATCAAATGCACATGAAGACGATACTCATAGCAGACATTCAACAATCGTCATTATTATTATTACTGTCCTCTGTAAAATGGGCACACCACCGACCTACGATGTAGAATTACTGTAAGCTCAGAACCGTGTCTAGCATGGTGTAAAGCGCTATACAAGCGATCCATGCGATCATTATCGTCATCATCATCCCACCAGGCCGCCCGCAGGCCATCTGAAAGAGGTATTCATCGAATCTCATGCTTTTTTGCAAATCCCTTTCGTAGGCCTGGCCGGGCGGCCCCAGGATACTCGCTAGGCCCCCGCGCATTCAGAGAGGAGGCTGTGGGGACTCCGGCCCGTGTGGACCACGGGCTCCGGTCGCCCCGCCCACGGGCCTGGACCGCCTGCCGTCTCCATGGAAACCCGCCAGCCGCAGGGGGGCGTGACGCCGCCGAGAGGGATGGGGGCCCTCGCCTATCGGGTCACAGTCATCTCGGCCCGGGGCGCAAACGGGGCCTCTGACGGGTGCGTCCTTGCGGAAAGGCGGGAACACGGCGGCGAACCACGGGGGTTGTACCGTCCCCGCCAATCAAGGGCCGCGCTGGCTGTGATGGACAGGCCTAGCGGGAAGAGGCCGCGAGTGCGGGCCGCCACCCAACCGACCGGCCGCAAGGCCGAGAGAGGACCAATGAGGAGGCGGCGGGGGTGGGACCAAAAGGCCGGTTGCTCCGGAAGTGGAGGGAGGGGGTGAAAATGGCGCCCAGCTCGAAATCGGAGCGGAACAGCGGGGCCGGGAGCGGCGGCGGCGGCCCCGGGGGCGCTGGGGGGAAGCGGGCAGCGGGGCGCCGGCGGGAGCACGTCCTCAAGCAGCTGGAGCGGGTCAAGGTGAGGCCTGGAGCCTGGGAGGGGCGCGCCGCAGGGTGGGGAGAAGGGACGAGGGAGGCGGAGGGAGGGAGGGCGTTCGCGGGGCGAGGGGTTGGGGGCGGAGCCCCGGGGGAGGGGGCTCGGGGGAAGGGGGCTGGGCGGGGCCCGGGGGAGAGGGTCGGGGGGAGGGGGCTGGGACGAGGTTTGGGATGGAGGGGGCTGGGGGCGGGGTCCGGAGGAGGGGGCTTGGATGCAAGGGCTGCGGGCCTGAGGAGGAGGGGGGCGATCCAGGGTCAGACTCCTTTTTCAAACCCCTGCTCCCGTGGCCCCTCCGTTCCGGAGCCTTCCCGCCCCCTTGGCGGAGCGTCTGCTCCCGGCTTTGGGCTTCCTCTGCCTAGTGTTCCTCTGTCCCGGCTCTGACCGCTCCGCAGCCGGGAGTTCCTGTACCTGGGTCTGCCTCCCCCATTGAATGGGAGGGACCTCCTTGGAGAAAGCCCGGTCTTCCCCCTCGGACTGGGAGCGCCCCGAGCAGGGCCCTGAGGTCTCCATCGGACTGTAAGCTCACAGTGCACCAGCATATCTCCCCCCGGTCGGTTTGGGAGCTCTGCTGTCAGGTCAGCGGCAGCCTGGCCAGAACTGTATCCCCGTGGATGGGGAGAGCGCCTTCTCCATTAGGCTGGGAACTCTGTGAGGGCAGCGCCGTGTCTCCTTCTGAGAGGTCCTGGGGCAGGGACAGTCTCCGCCTTCAGCCTGGTTGTTCCCTGGGTTGGGCTGTGGCTCCACCCTTAGCTTGGAGGCTCCCTGGACCGGGATTGTGTCTCCCTTGTCAGCCTGGGCCTCTCCGGTAGGGCTGTTCCATCAGACTAGGTTCTTGAGGAGTGGGCTGTCTCCCCCATCTGCTAGGGAGCTCCCCAAATAGATCTCTTTCTCATTGCACTGTGCTCTGTACAACTCTTGGTTTAAGGCAAGGATCTCACTCAGACTGGCCTGTACAACTCAGGGTGCGCTGATCCCCTACTACCCAGCTTGTGCCTGCCTGCCCCCCCTCCCAATTCCTCCTCCACACACACTACAAATCGTTCCTTTAAGTTTTTGGGATGAGGGATTCAGTTAGAAGGTGGCCAGGTTAATTGAGAAGGGGGAAGTGGGCAGGAATTGGAAGGTCACTGGTCAGCCCCACCCTTCTGCCTCAGAGGGTCCCCAGCTGAGGCCAGCGCTGTCCCAAAGGTCCTGAGCACCCTGTGTGTAGGGTCATAGGTGAGGGACAGGTGAGTGCAGTTGGTCAAGCCTCCTTAGTGGTCGAGGACACCTGCAACTCAGTGCATCCTGAAGCAGCCTTCAGGAAGGCAGCCAATGGCCCATTGTGACCCATGGGTGACTGGGGAACCTTCCCCAGGGAGGTAATGCCAGTGCTGGCCCTTAGAACCTGGGTGCTTGGGGGAAGAGGGGCTCTGAGGCTGAAGAGATGTGAGGTTGGGAGGGTGGCATGGGTCCCTGGTGGAAGGGAGGCTCAAGTGAGGCCCAGGTGATCCATCTTCTCCGGCTATTCCCACCTTCCAGAGCTTGGACCACTCTTGACCGTCATGGTTGTCAGAAAGTGGGCTGTGTGTCTGGGCAGACCCTGGGGGTGCTACTCTGCTTTAGCTGAGGGGACTGGGGAGGTGACAGTGCCTCAAGAGCCAGGGCTGCCCCTTCCCCAGATCAGTGGGCAGCTCTCCCCTCGCCTCTTCCGGAAGCTGCCGCCCAGGGTCTGCGTCTCCCTCAAGAACATTGTGGACGAGGACTTTCTCTACGCAGGGTGAGGCTGCGGGGCTGGGGCAGGGGCTGGCGGGCGGTGGGGGCGCGACAGGCTGGTCCTGACCTGGCCATTCCACCCCCTCCCCTCACAGACACATCTTCCTGGGCTTTTCCAAGTGCGGTCGGTACGTTCTTTCGTACACCAGCAGCAGTGGGGATGACGACTTCTCCTTCTACATCTACCATCTGTATTGGTGGGAGTTCAACGTGCACAGCAAACTCAAGCTGGTAGGGCTGGGCCCAGGGCTGGGCTGTCCCTTCATGCAGGTGACCCGCAGGTCCCATCACTCCCCGAGCCTCTGCTTCCTTGTCCATAGAGTGGGGAAACTACTCCGTGTGTTAGGTCAAACCTGATGTGAAATTGCTGTTTTCATAGTTGAAAGCGGGTAAACAGCAGCACTTTCGTGTGGCTCAACTCAGTGTATATAGCCTGTAAGAAGGAAACGGCAGGCTCAGGCCAGGTGGGACCCGTTAGGTTTGCTAGCTCTTTCACTTCACCCCGACTTTGACACCTTGACCTACCCCTCCCCCCACTCCAGGAGGTGAGTGCTGTTACTTCAGTTTCTACATGTGCTCAAAGAGGTGAACAGGTTTCAGGGTGAACGGCACTTGGAACTGCTGTGTCTGGCAGAGTCTGATTTCTTGGGGCAGGGCTCCCATCAGCTCCCCCCCGCCCCCCGCAGTGCTGGGCTGGCCTCCCTGATTCCCCTGCTTGTAAGGGGAGCCTGCCCAGCCTGTTCTTGGGAATGCAGAGGGGGGTGGTGTAGGGGCTGCTTTGGACTCCCTGGCTGGAGCCAGAAACACCCCTAGCCCCCCAAAAGGGTGTTCCTGCCAGCTCAGCCCCAGCTCCCATTCCAGCCCAGCGTCATGTGGCTTTGGGCCCCCTGCCACCCTCCACCCAACCCACTCAGACCCCATACCCTAAACTTGCTGCTCAGGTCCGGCAGGTGCGGCTCTTCCAAGATGAGGAGATCTACAGCGACCTGTACCTGACTGTGTGTGAGTGGCCCAGCGATGCCTCTAAGGTCATTGTCTTCGGCTTCAAGTAAGACTTGGGGACACGGAAGGCCTGGGGACCCGGGAGGGGCGGTGCATGGGCCAGGCTGCTGAAGGTGTGCTGGCCCCTAGCACCCGCTCAGCAAATGGGATGCTCATGAACATGATGATGATGAGTGACGAGAACCACCGGGACATCTACATCAGCACTGTGGCGGTGCCACCACCAGGCCGCTGCGCTGCCTGTCGCGAAGCCAGCCGGGCCCATCCAGGTGAGCGCCTGGGGGCCTTGGGGTGCAGGCTGGGGTGCAGGCTGCCTCCCTGCCCCGAGGCCACAAGGGAACCTGTGTGGCATGTGTTAACCGCAGGTGACCCGAGTGCGCAGTGCCTGCGGCACGGCTTCATGCTGCACACCAAGTACCAGGTGGTCTACCCCTTCCCCACCTTCCAGCCTGCCTTTCAGCTCAAGAAGGACCAGGTGGTGCTGCTCAACACCAGCTACTCTCTGGTGGCCTGTGCCGTCTCGGTCCACTCAGCAGGTAGGCCCCCCCCCCGGGTCTGATGATAGGCCCAGTACGTGCTGGGAGCCTCAGAGCTCCTGGTCCCCTGTCTCCGCCTAGCCTCCCTTCGGGGGTGATCCTGTTACGACCCCATGTAACAGATGAGGAGGACGAGGTATGGAGAGGTGACATCCCTTGTCCAAGATCACACAGCTGGAAAGCAGGACTGCTGAATCCAGAGCTAGCTGTGTTCTACCCCAGCACTGTCCACTAGAACTTTCTGCAGGGCTGGGATGGTCTATATTTGCTGTGTCTGCTATAGCTGCCCCCATTAGCCACTTGAAAGCGGCTTGTGTGACCAAGGAACTGAGTTTTTAATTTCAGTTCTTTTTGGTTGAGTTTCAATAGCCACATGTGGCCACAGCTACCATGCTGGACAATACAGTGTTCTTTTCAAAAATTTAAAATTTCAAGGAGTGAGTGGTCAGTGGACATGTGGCTGTCGTGCATCTTTGGAAATAGGAAATATGCCAGTGAAGATCACAGGGTGATGTCCCTTGACGGAGTGCTCAGCATTAAGAAGCTGATAATGCTACCGGCTGGTGGTGATGTGGGGCCCCGGGCCTCCCCTGTACTCTCAGGGCCACACGGCAACAGTGTGACTGCAGCCCCGCTGTCCTGCGCCTGGGAGTGTCCGAGGCTCTGGGGGCTGCCTACTGTCTATTCTTGGGGATCGGGGAGGTAGGACAAGGCGGGTATTCTCTTGGATCAGCAGTCCCAGTGGGCACCCCAGCATGCATGTCCATGGAGCATGCCTTCAAGACATGCTCGAATGCAAAAGAAACGAAAGGAGATCTATGGCCAGATAATGATACCACTTATGTATAAATTAAAAATATATTCCCGTTTTGCAAGAGCCCAGTCAAATACAAAGATATCCACCAACTACAATAAAATGGTTGCCTCTGGGAGAAGAAGGGGAGTGGACATGAAAAGAGAATTAAATGTGTATATAACTAAGATCACAAATCAGCAAGGCCAGAATGCCTTGTGCCTAGGCCCATCCAGGGCCACCTGGGCCACTGTACACAAGGCCCTGCCCCTCATCAAGCTGCAAGCCCCCAAACAAGCCAGGCCTAGTCAAGGCCCATACCCCATGTACCTGTGGCTGTGGGTCCCTGTAGGAAGGGTCGTGTGGGACAGGACTCAGCTGCGTGCAGTCGGGGCTGATGGGGGCACTGTCACCTGTACCTAACACTCACCTCACCGTAGGGGTATTGTCCTGCAGTGTGGCCTTGGCCAAGTTTCTCTCTGAGTCTTTGTTCTTAGTCTCCGGACACAGCTCCTACCCTCCCAGCGTTGATGGTGGGGGGCCCCACGGACATGGTGAAGGGAGAGCCCTGGGCCCAGCTCCCGGTGCTTTTCAGTGAACTTGTCGGGGTCGTCCATGCTGAGCCCACATTCCCCAGAGGGGGAACTGGTCCCTAGTCAGGCAGACACAGACGGAGGCCTGGGATTTGCCTGCTGTGTGCCCAAGCCAGCTTGGTTTCCGATGGGGAGGATGGATGGCTGTGTAGTAAACTCAGACTTCAGTGATTTTTACCTTTTGTCACTATAGACTGTCAGCTTCCCAAGGGCAAGGATTTTTGTGTCTTGTTCACTTGTGTCCTCAGCGTGTGGCATTTGGTAGATGCTCCAAATTGAAGCCTGAATGTGGTATTGATGCGCATGCGTGTGTATAGGCCTTTTCCCCTTCTGAATGTTTCAGACTGATCTTTGAACATAGGTTAAGTCCTCTAGAAGGGTCTCTTCAAGGTGGATCTCTAAGAATCACCCTCCGGGGCGGTAGAGAGGTTGGCAGTGTCCCAAACTTGAACTCGCCTGTTGACCACCCCCCACCTCCCTCCCCTCTCTTCGTTCTAGGCGAGAGCAGCTTCTGCCAAATCCTGTATGACCACACCACCTCCCCACCGGCCCCTCCCAGCCCCCCTGGGCCCCAGAGCCCCGAGGTGCCCCCCGCCCTCCCCAGCCCCTGCCCTGAAGCAGCTCCCATCCGGCCCCCCGGGGCCCCCGAGCCATCGCCTGCCATCGCCAAAGCCAAGGAGTTTGTGGCTGACATCTTCCGCAGGGCCAGAGAGGCCAAGGGAGGGACCTTGGAGGAAGCCCGGCCACCCCCATGCCCGGGGCCCTCAGGCAGCCGCTGCCGCCTGCCCTCCGAGCCCCTGGCCCCAGGCGGGGAAGTGGTACCCCGAGATAGCCCCCCCGCGGCAGAGGCACCAGCTCCAGAGCCTGGCTACGTCAACTACACCAAGCTGTATTATGTGCTGGGGTCCAGCGAAGGGACAGAACCGGAGGACGGTGAGCGGGCAGGGCCCGAGGTGTGGGAGGCCAGCCAGAGGGGCCATCAGCCCCACCCCACCCCTACCCCCACCTCCTGTTCCCTCAGAGTTCGAGGATGACAAGATCTCCTTGCCCTTTGTGGTGACCGATCTCCGTGGCCGCAACCTGCGGCCCATGCGGGAGCGGGCTGCCGTCCAGGTTGGTGCCAGTCGGGGGGCAGCCCCTGGGGAGCCTGCCGGCGTGGCAGGTGATGCAGCCCCCCACCCCCACTCCCAGGGTCAGTACCTGACGGTGGAGCAGCTCACACTGGACTTTGAGTACGTCATCAATGAGGTCATCCGCCATGACGCCACCTGGGCCCACCAGTTTTGTTCCTTCAGTGACTATGACATTGTCATCCTAGAGGTGGGCCCTGGGAGGGGACAGGGTGGGCCTAGGGCCCCTCTCTTCTGGGTGTCACTCAATAGCTGTCGCTGCCATCCCCACCTGCCCACTCCAGGTCTGCCCGGAAACCAATCAAGTCCTCATCAACATTGGCCTGCTGCTCCTGGCATTCCCGTCCCCAACTGAGGAGGGCCAGCTCCGGTGAGCGAGCAGGGATGCCCCTCACTTGCCAGCAGGCAGCCACACTCACATACTTAAGTGGGGGTGGGCAAGTGGGGATGTGAGACGACCTCCCCTGCCCCCAGAACCTGGATTGGGCACTCCATTCCTGCTCCAAAGACAGAAATCCCCGAGTCGCCTGGGTCCCAGCTGCAGGACCCATTGGTCCCATCCCTTTCTCCTTTCCCCCCACCCTGCTGCAGACCAAAGACCTATCATACCAGCCTCAAGGTGGCATGGGACCTCAACACAGGCATCTTCGAGACAGTCAGTGTAGGCGACCTCACCGAGGTCAAGGGGCAGACCAGGTGAGGTGGGGCTGGGGCGGGGGCCGAGGGCCAGGGACTGGGGAGGGTGGCCTGGGTGATGAGAGCCCTCACCCCCTTGCCCTCAGCGGCAGTGTCTGGAGCTCATACCGCAAGAGCTGCGTCGACATGGTCATGAAGTGGCTGGTGCCTGAGAGCAGCGGCCGCTATGTCAATAGGATGACCAACGAGGCGCTGCACAAAGGTAGGCTCCATGACCCGTTGACGGTCAGGACTGAGGCCCTTGTCTGGTGCCATGCCAGGCCTAGAGCAGGTGCGATTCATATGTTCCTGAATGGAGTCCACTGGCCATGCTAGTGGATACCACGTAACTGGGGTGAAGGAAGGGCTGGCTCAGAGGGGACCTGGCAGGTGTGGCACCTGGGGACCCCCAGCCAGTCCATTCATTTGCTCTGTAGATGTCTACTGGGTGGCTGCAGGTGGGAGGCCCACAGGGTAACTCAGGGTCACTGCCTTCTGGAACCTGGGGCCCAAGCCCAGGCAGGGAAAGAGGCACCCCTGCCCCCACCAGCCTGGGCCTACAGACTCCGAGGCTCACCCCTGACCCTTCCCTGCAGGGTGCTCACTGAAGGTTCTGGCGGACAGTGAGCGATACACATGGATTGTGCTGTGAGGGCCCGGCCGCTCTGGACACTGACTCCAACTACCTCCGCGGCCTGGGAGCTGGCCGCCTCCCTGGCAGCCTCTCCCCGGCTGGCCGGCCCACCGATGCCCGACTGACGAGCGGCACTCGTGTTAGGCTGCGGGGAAGGGGGCTGGGCGGGGCAGCCCCTCGTGGCCCGAGAGTCTGGACGCTTTTTATTTATGCCTATTTAAGTTGGGAAGGGGCAGAGGGAGGGAGCCCCCTGCCCCACCAGCCTCAAGCGCCCATCTTCACCCTGCGCTGGGCACAGGCCCTCGTTCTCTGCGCCTCTGCCCCCTTTCCTTGGCTACAGCTGTGGACATTACTCCCCCTCCTCCTCAGGGAGGCCAGTTGGACCTCCTTGTCCTGTCCTGCCCTGCCCGCCCCAGCCTCCCCCCCCCTCACCCGACACTGAGGTGGCCAGCCTCGTGGCCATCCCCTCCCCCTGCCCGTCCTTCCTCTTCATGTAATAAATGTTTTATTTCTGAACCTCCCTCAATTCCCTTTCCTGCCGCTCGGGGCCCAGCTGGAGCCCCCAGCCCCAAGGCCCCTCGAGTCAGCAGCAGCCACATATCACAGCGGAATTTATTGTGTTTTAAGAAAGACTACAAAAAGGTAGAAAACAGCTCGGCACACTAGACTACCACACGCGTGGACACTTTCACGGCCAGGAGGGGGGGGCCCCGAGGGAGTGGGGAGGGGAAGTGGGGGGGGGCCACCCCAAAAGCTGTAGCACGCGGAGCACACAAAATAGTGATTTTTATACAATAGGTCAGATTTTTTTTTTCTTTTTTCTTTCTTTTTTTTTTTTTGCTGTTTGCCATAAACATCTATCTCACAGGTTGAAGACACTGAGAAAACCGGAACAGATAAGGCCATGATGGTTGGAAAAAAACCAACAAGTTACCAACTCCGCTCAGGCGGCTCACAAATCGCACAATAGTCATGTGGGGGGCGGGTCGCACTGCACGGAGGAGGAGCACAGTCTCCCGGGAGAGAAGGAGCACAGAGGTTCCATTACAAACCAGAGGCGGGTGACCTGGGACACTGGGGTCTTGGATCTGAGGGAGCCGAGCCCCCAGCCTGGGCCAGAACAGGCGGGCACTTCTGGGCCCCACTGCCGGCAGCAGGCCCCTAGGGGCTCCCAGGTCCAGCCCAGCCTGCTGCTCTTTGGAAGCTGGAGCAGTGCCCCTGCTGCCTCCCCCCAGGGGCAGTGCCCCCCTCGAGGGCTGCGGAGCAAGGGAGGGCCCAGCTCTGGAGAAGATGCGACACCCACGGCTTTAATTGCACTTATACCAAGGAGTGGGGAGCGGTGGGGTTGCTGGGGGAGGGGTCCCGGGGCTGCTGCTGACAGTGGGGGTCCCCAGGTGACGCCCACCTGTGCCCACCTGGGGCTCAGGGTTGGGCCCGGGACAGACTGTGCAAAGCCAGCGAGCTGAATAAGTTAACGGTTCCACAGGGGAGGGGGGCCTGCCTGCCTGCCCCCCGGGATGGCGGGAGGGAGGGTGGGGCTGGGGGAGGGAGATGCTGAGGCCTTCGGGGGGGCCAAGGAGCCTAGCTGGCTGTCCCACGGGGCACCTGGGCACGGCGGCGGGTTCCTTAAGGCACGTCTTTGTGTCAGTTTGCAGCTGCGGCTCCGCCCGGCCCTGTGATTGTGCCGGCCCCACTGGGGGCGGGGACCCCCTAGCCTTCCCTGTCTTGGAGGCCCCCTCCCGGCCCTGGCCGAGGCTGGAAAGGTGACGGCGAAGCCACAGAAGCTGTGAGGGACCCTGGAGTGGACGGGCGGCGGGGGTGGGGCGGGCGGGGCGGGGGAGGCCGCGGGGCTTAGCTGGAGGGCAGCGCTTGCACGAAGAGGCCACGCGCGTCTGTCCGTGCCAACTTGGCGGGCGGCTCCAGGGCGTCAGGGCCCAGCGCGGGCGACTCGCCGCCGGCCGCCAGCGAGATGTCCTGCGGCAGCTCATCCTCGCTCTCCTCCTCCTCTTCCTCCTCCTCGTCTGAGGCACACAGAGCGGGGCCCGGCTCAGCGGGGGGCGCCGCCTCCACCCCCCCACCCCACAGACATACACAGTCAGCCGCCCGGAGGCCTGGAGACACGCCCCGCCTACCTTTGTCCGGGTCTAGGGGGTTCAGCGAGGTGGTCAGGTTGGCGAACTGCAAGGAGGCAAGACAGGGAGTGAGGATCCCGCCGAGGGGCGCCCCGCCCGCGCCCTCCGAGCCCCGCCGCGCGCACCTCGCCCATGACCGCGATGGGGGTCTCGCCCTTGGCCTGGGCCACGCGGTGCTCGATCAGGTAGTACATGTACTCGTCGTAGAGCAGCCGGATGAGGTGGAAAGAACCAAAGCTGGCAGCGCTGCGCAGGGTCAGGTCCCGGATCACCATGGAGCTGTGGGCGGCGGCGGAGAGGAGGCCATGAGGCCCGGGGCGCCAGCAAGCCCAGCTACCCTGGCCCGCACTGGCTTCCCAAGCGCGGCCATCGTGAGAGCTAGGGGCTTCACCCTGCCCACTGCCGAAAGGGCCTCCGCCTTGGTGAAAGCGCTCCTGCGCCCCAAGGAAGCCGAGGACGGGGGTCTTCTCCGGCCCCACGTTCCGCGAGGAGGCGTGGCCTCCGTGATCCCGCGTTGGCCCGCCCCAGGGAGGAGCGCCCGAGCCCGCCCCGGAGAGGGGCCCGCCGCCCCAGGAGAGGAGGAGCCGCCCGAGGCCCCGCCCTTTCCCGCGCGGGCCGCCCGCAGAGCCAGAGCGCACCTGTAGAAGGACCACTTGAGGAGGAAGAGCTTGGCGGCCTTGGGGAAGCCGGCGCTGCCCTGGTAGGGCTTCAGCACCTGGCTCACGACGCCGTCCAGCCAGGCCGCCCACTGCTCCAGCGAGTTCTGCTGCTGCAGGGTCACCTTGAAGTCCTGCTCCAGCCGCTGCACCACGCGGTCCTCGCAGCGGCACACCCATGAGGCCTGCTCCTGGAGTACAGCGGGCAAGTGCCCGCGGCTCAGCCGCCGCCCCGGGCCGCCCCGCCCTCACCTGCGCCGTCCCGCGCTCACCTGCCCTGTCCGGCGCTCACCTGCACGTTGGCGAAGTCCACGCGGTTGAGGTCGCTCAGCATCTGGTTGATCTGCGCGGTGTTCTGCAGCACGGCCCGAGCCGCCTGCGCCAAGTGGTTGAGCGACGTGTAGCGTCGCAGCGTCTGCGCGAAGGCGCCGGCCGCTGCCACCTGCGGGGCGGGGGTGGGGGTGTGCGCGTGTGCTTGCGGCTGGCGCTGGTGCAGAACCCACCCCCCACCCCCTCAGCCCTGCTCCACCCGCTGCAGCTGCAACTTCTAGGAGCCTTTCTTTCTCCTAAAAGAGAAGGTTGTACCTCATTGCTTTGGTTGACAGATCAAGGGGTCGGGATTTTCAAACTTCGGGTGGACACCCAAAGTATGGGACAAAAAAAAAAATTCGCGTAATGTGTCTGACCTGCATTTTTATTAAGGATTAGGACACAACAGAAACCCTGAGAGAGGGATCCCTGGGTGGCGCAGCGGTTTGGCGCCTGCCTTTGGCCCAGGGCGCGATTCTGGAGACCCCGGATCGAATCCCACTTCGGGCTCCCGGTGCATGGAGCCTGCTTCTCCCTCTGCCTATGTCTCTGCCTCTCTCTCTCTCTGTGTGTGACTATCATAAATAAATTTTTAAAAAAAGTTTTTAAGAAACCCTGAGAGGGCACCGCCTAGAAAGGGCAGTGCTTGCACTGTTATTCCCTTGAACATCAGGTTGGCCGGGGGTGGGGGTGGGGGGTGTCCCATCTCAGTCGTTGCTGTGCTCACACATTGAGAACCGCGCTGCCACACAGTAGGTGCTCAATAAATACATGCTGAATAAATGAATGAATGCATTTATTTATTCATTGGATCGAGCTTCTACTCCTTCCACCTCTCCACGGCACCCAGGGGTGATGCCTCAGATGCCCAGTTCTATGTAACTGTCTCATTTTAAGGACGACACCCCCCCCATCTTCCTTTTATTATTTTGCTCAAGAGCAAGCACATCACATCTAACTTCTCACATCAGAGTAGTTAGTGAATGTGCAGCATTGATGAAGAGTGCCATTATTCTGTTCCCCCATAGATTAGATGCTGTTTTTTTTTTTCCTATTGAAGCTGTCTGAAGAGAACTACTTCAAGTTGCATTTGGTTTTTATTTTTTCAAGATACTGTGTTGTGTACAAAAGACCACAAAGGGGTTGAGTTTCAGAAGTGGGTACCTGAGGAAACTGGTTTGTCAAAACAATACCCAAAGCTCACTCTGAGGAACAGGCAGGACAAATGCTATGGCCTCTATGGGGGACCATGGCCTCCAGCCCCCAGTTCCACAGGCAGGAGCTGGGCTGTGCACCCAGGCTGGCCAATCAGGCCCTCCCTGTAAGCTGGTGCCCAGCCCCCCATCTCCCCTCACCTTCACACGCAGCATCTCCTCAGGGATGTTCACCATGGCATGGGTGAGCCAGCTCTCCAGGCTCTTGGCAAAGTTCCGGATCGCTTGGGTCAAGGCACCTGCGAGGGGGGCAGCAAGGAGGGGCTGAGCAGGACGGTGGTGGGGTGGTGGGGTGGTCGTCAGTGGTGGGGTGGCTGCTGTGTACTCACTGGGGATGGGCCGCAGTACGTCAGGGATGAGGATCTCCACCAGGCCCTGGTACAGCACGTTGTCACAGTGCTTGGTCCACTGCAGCACTGGCTCAAACTTGGAGAGGAGCACCAGGCTGGCCTTGGGCAGCCGCTTCTCAGCCTCATCATGCCTGTGGGCACCCGCCCCACCCCCCAGGTCAGATGGGGGAGGTCTTACACACAGGCCCCTGCCCACTGCAGGGAGGAAATGGCTTAGTGGGGCTGGCTGTCCCCCATGCAGATACACAAGCATGCTTGGGAGTGGGCGTCAGGAGGCTGTGGGGACCCCACCAACTGCAGGTTGCAGGCAAATGCACCCGCGGCCAAGGTCTGGCTGCCCTGGCCCTGGGTGCTGACTCTGCGGTGCCCCCCTCCTACTCTCCTCCCCACTCCCACTGAGGGACTCACACGGCCAGCGGAGGCGCCTCGTTGGGCTGGCTGAGGTTGTACCTCCAGAAGGTTTTCCACAGCGTCTCCACCAGTGTGAACTGCAGGTTCACCATGACATCGACAATGGCCTGTTGGGGAGGCTGGGTGCTCAGGGATGTGCGGCGGGGTTGGTAGGGGACCGGGCGGGCAGCACGCCCTCCCCTCGCCCCTGCCTGCCTGCCCAGCTGCCCCTACCTCACAGTGTTCCCGGTACAGGACCTGGAAGGCCTTGATGTCCCCAGGCCCGACGCCCTCGGGGAGCACTTTGCCCTGGAGGTCAAGCTCTGAAAAGTCAGGGAGACTCCGCGAGGCATCTGGAGGCAGGAGAGGACACCATGAGGGCTTTTACCCTCCACCTGCCTGTCCCCTCAAGCCCCTCCCTAGGGTCTTATCAAGGTGTCCTCAACTTTCCTCGCAAGCGGGGGTCTCCTGTGGGCAGTGGGTCATGGGGAGGTTCAGGGAAGGCAGATGAACCCCGGCCCAGCCCCCGCCCCATGGGCCAGGGTGCTCTCACCCAGGAACTGCTGGTACTGCTGGACCTGGGCGCTGATGTCGGACAGCCCGGTGGCCTGCTGTGGCCCCACGGCCACACCGTTGGTCATGCCCTCCATCTTCTGGATAGGCTTGAGTCTGGGGAAGGAGCAGGTGGGGCGCTAAGACAGGCCAGCACGCCCTCCCCCACCCACCGGCACAGGCAAGAGCCGGCCCCTCCTCCTACCTCTGCTTCTGCGAGAAGGGCTGGCCCCGCATAGCCATGTGCTGCTGGTCCTCCATCAGTCGCAGCAGGGGTGAGCTGGCCTTGATGCGCAGGCCATAGTAGTGGTACTTGGAGTTGCCCCTGGGAGGGAGGCAGAGGCTGAGAGCTCGGCTGGGGGGCCTCCAGTCGTCCACCAGGACCTTCATACCACACCTGCCTCCCCTGCTCAGGGGCCACACAGCTTGGGGGCAAGACCCATGTTCCACAGAGCCAGGGGTGCTGTGCTGGGGAAAGTACAGGGGCTGTGGGTGCCAAGAGAGGTCCCCTTGTACCAACTGAGTTCCAAGAAGACAGGGCCAGCCGTCTGGGGCACTCCTCAGCCTCCGATGCCAGCATGGGGCAGGAGCTCAACAGTACTTGTTGACTACTAGTTATGACAATCTGCCAGGCACTGTTCTGAGCACTTAGCATATACAAATCCACGTGTCCCTTAGCTCTATCCTATGAAGGGTGCTTCTGGCATCCTCCAGGGACAGATGAGGAAACTGCGGCACAGAGACGTGGTACTTTGCCCATGGGTTATGCGTAAGTGAATGAGGTGACACCTAAGCTGAGACCTGGACTCGAGAGATGAGCAGGGCTCACCCCAGGGAGGTGTGAGGGTTGCGAAGGATTAGAATGGAAGGGTGGGCTCAGGGGAGGGCCCCTTGTTCCTTCCTACATAAATTCAGACTTGAAGGCCCTGATTAAGCACCAACTGTGGGCGCTACCACACCCTCAAGGTAAGTGCATTTCAGCACTGGAGGCCAGATCAGAAAGAAAAGAATAACCACAAAAGGCATGTGGGGCAGTGCTCCATAGTAAGGAGGGAGAGCAAGCAGGGAAGGGGGGGTGGGGAGTGTCAGGGAAGAGGGAGGTGGGAAGGCTTCAGTTTCAGTTAAGGAGGCCAGGAGGGCATTTAAGTAAGGAGATGGAGAAAAGCACATGAAGGTGGAGTCACAGCTCATGCAAAGGTCCTGTGGTGAGAGCGTGGGGATGTCAGAGGAAAGGGCCAGTGGAGCTAGAGCAGAATGAGTAAGGGCATAAGAGGGGTAGCTGCAGCCCTGGAGAACTTGGGGTGGGGGCGAGGGTGGGCCTTGCAGCTGTCAAGGGTGGGTGGCCCACCTGGTGCCAAGACGTCGGGTACGCAGGCCCATGAAGACAGAGCGGATGAGCTTGCCAAAGGAAGCGGCGTTGACGGGCTCCAGCTTCTGCTCCTGGCAGTGCAGCAGGTAGTGGCAGTAGAGGGTGCTCCGCGGCAGGCTCACACCCTCCGCTGTCTCATAGTTGTCTAGGAGCCACTGAACCTGGGGCCAGACCAGGGACAAAAGAGCACTAAGAATCACCTTAGTTTCTCGAGTACTGGTTGGTCAATGCTCTCTGTACCTATTTCCAATTGCGATCCTGAGAACCACACTGTAGGGCCCATCATATCATAATCACCAATGGGAACTACATCCCATGAATTCTCTAAAACTGCACTGTAGTTGCTGCCAACCACATGGGGCTATTTAAATTAATTAATACTGAGTGGAAAAATCCAATGTCAAAAGGTCATGTGGAGTATGATTCATAGAACATTCTCTAAATGACAGCATTCTAGAAATGGGGAACAGATTAGTGGTTGTGGGGGTTGGGGTGGGGCAGGAGGTGGTGGTTAGGGATGCCAGGAGGGAGGAGGGTGGGAGTTACTATAAAGGGGGAGCAGGAGGGCGATCCTTGTGACATGGAACAGTTCTGCATCTTGACTGTAGTGGTGGTTTCCCAAATGTACACTCGTGATGAGATGTAAGTAGACACCCACACTGTACCAAACCCAGTTTCCTGGTTGGATACTATACTGCAGCTATGAAAAATGTAACTAGTAGGGTAAGGGGGGGGTGGGCATAGGGATCTCCCTGTACTATTTTTGCAGCTTCCTTTGAAACTACAATTACATTAAAATAGAAAAAAATAAAATAGTTTAAAGAAAAACAAACTCAATTCAGTTCCTTGGTGACCCCAGCCATATTTTAGGTACTCACTAGCGACATGTGGCCAGACGCCTCTCTATTGAACAGCACAGAGAAGTATTTCCATCAATGGAAAATGCTTTATATGACAGCATTGTTCTAGTGCAGAATGTTTGCAAACTTCAGGTAAGGACCCGTTATGGGGTCATAAAATCAGGTAGGTCACAACCACATTAAAAAAAAAAAAAAAAAAAAAAAGACTAGAAGCCATGCTGCACGGGAGTACAAGGGAGGGTCTGCTTGCTTTCCGAGAAGCTTCTGTTTTGGTTATGTGGTCCATGATGGGTTGCTATGCAAAGGGCGGTCTTAATATCACTCCAGACCCCAAGTTCCAAGAGGACAAGGACTACGAGGACTCCTCCCAGGACTATGAGGCCCTGACCCATCCACAGTCACAGAGCTAGTGGGGGGCTCTGCCCAAGTGACTCCATACAGCCTACCTCTGGGCAGAGTTTGTCTTGATGCCTTCAGATGGACAAAGAACCTTGCTCAGGGCCGCTCCCCCCCACGCTGGTGCCTGCCTCTCCCTCCCCTTGCTCTATACCTGCCATCATCAGTTATAATCACAGGAGACAACACTTTGTGAGGCACTGCTCTAGCAGCTTCATGCATATTAGGTGAGGCCCAGAGAGGCTTGGGACCTGTCTGAGGCTACCAATGAGGATTTGATCTCAGAATATCTTCATCTGAGGACTCTGGTGCAATGGTTATGGTGGCTGATGGTGGCCACCGACCACCCAGCCCCATCACCTCCATCCAGTCCCCCTCCTCCCACCACCTGCCTCTTCTGGGGCCCACGCTGGCACTTACGGTGGCTGGCGAGGCACGGGTGGTGTGGGAATAGGACTGGCTGGCACTGCCCAGCATGTAGCCGCCTTGGATCACATAGGTGCCTGCTCCACTGCTGCCGCCTCCGCTGCCGCCACCACTGCCACCACCCCCGCCGCCGCCTCCCCCACCGCCGCCACTGCCGCCACTGCTGCTGTTGTTGGCCCCACCTCCACTGCTGGTGGAGCTGGTGACGACCTGGCTGCCGGACACATACATGGGCACAGAGCCGCTGCTGGCCACCGCCTGAGAGGTGGCGGGTGTGCTGACCTGGGCGGCTGTGCCCGCAGCTTCGTAGTAGCTGGTGCCCGCTGTCTGGGTGTACAGCGGCGTCTCCGGGTAGGGGTAGGTACTGGAGCGGCTGAGAGAGAAGCAGAGGGAGGAGTCAGAGGGCCAGAGCCTGATGGATGGCGCTCCTGGGGGGCAGGCCCCTCCCGGGAAGGGAGTGAGGAGCAGCAGCCCCAGCGCAGCCAACACCTAGTTACCTACACGGGACCAGGCACTGCCCTGAGTACTTGGTAGGACACAATTTCTCATTTCATCATCAAAGTGGCCCCTGGCATGGGAGTCCACATCTCAGGTGGGAAGAAGCCAACTTGGAATAGGCCACACACTCAGTCAATCCAAAACGAAACAAAACAAACAAACAAAAAACAATTATTGAATACCTACTGTATGCTGGACACTGTTCTAGGTGCCTTAGACCCAGCAGTGGGTAAGCAGAAAAGGCCCTGCCTGGGGGAGTTAATGTGGTGGGGAAGACAGAGGAGAAGCAAGCATGAAGGTAAATCAAGGCAGAAGGTGGGCCATGCCCAGGTGGTATAAAATGCAGGAAGGTGCTGGAGAAAGGGGGAGAGCCACCCTGGGGAGTCATTCAGCGATGACTTTTGGAGTGCAGAGTACGTCCCTCTGAGGCAGCGACATAGCCTGCCCTGGAGCCTTCTCCCTAAGCCATCCCCAGACCAGAGTCAGACGATGCAGGCTCACGGCTGCAGGGTGAAGCAAGAGAGTGAAAACTGGGGTCCATCTTTAGAGGAATGCTAAGTGAAAGGTGTCAGAATTCTACGGAGGGATGAGAGAGAAAGAGGAAGGTCCTGCCCAGAGAAGCAGCTCCAGAACATTCTGTCAGGTAAATGGAAGAGGTGGGGAAAGGAAAGGATGGGGTTTCCAGAAGAGTGGGGCGACTAGGCCCCATTTCATATCTCCATCTGCATCCGTGGGGGTGGAGGCCCGCGGAGGGGAGCAGGCCTCTCACAAGACAGAGCTGGGCACAGTTTGGGTTTCTGAGCCGTCTTTACATATTAGTGATTAAAAACAACATCAAATTTTAGAAAACCAAGAAGGGAGCAAAGCCGGCCAGGTGGGGCTTGCCTTAGAAGGCACTGCTGGAGTCTCCTGAGGAAAGCAGGGGAAGGAGACTTGAAGGCCTCTGGGGCTAGCAAGGAGAGGTATGAGGGTGGGGGGTGGGGGGAGGTACGGTCACCAGAGCTGAGCACCCTGCCTGCTGGACACCAAGATGCAGCTCTTGACCAGAGCACCCTGGTCCACATGGACTGAGGTGGCGTGGAGCAACCCTGACAACCCTCCACCCCACCCCCAGGCAGGGAGCAGCCTGCCCAGCCCAGCCCAGCCCAGCCCAGAGCCCCACATGCTGACTGACTGACTGAATGAATGAATGTGTGCGTCTCTAGTCACAGCCTAGATGGGGCCAGGGACAGAGGTGCAGGGGCTTTGGCCAGGGTGGGGATCCAGGCTGGCAAAGGGCTGGGAACCCAGTAAAAACCCACTGCAAGAGAGAAACAGAAGACACAATGCCGCTAACAACTTCACACAGCAGAAGAATCTGACGGCAATGATGGGCTACGTGCGATCACACATACTATAATCACGGAGAGTAGAATTCAAACGAAGCAAAGGACAGATGCTACCAGGGGAGGCAGAAGGAGCCAGGCACCACAAGGTCTGGGCTTGTGCCTCGGCTCCACTTCTCACATCCCTAGAGGCCCTTGGGGGCCATACTCTTTTCCAGAGTGTCCCCTATGCTCTCTACCCACTCTGGTCTGCATGGCTGACTGGCAGCACTGGAAATAAATCAACGGAACTATGAGGTAGCTGGATGCCACGGACCATGACTCAGGTGCCTGGGTCACACCCTTGGGATCTACTACAGCATCATAACTCAGAGACTGAGTTGCTCTATGAGCTAATCCACAGCATCATGCCCACGTGGGACAGGGGAGAGGATATAAGAAAAACAAAACAAAACAAATGCAAAGAAAACCAATGGAAACTTCCAATAATTAAAACAATAATCACTATAATCCTTCAATTATTACTATGGATGATGGGAGAAGGTGGTATGTGGGGTATCCGGGATGAGAGGGAACCAGAGCCAGGGCTAGGGCAGGCCAGGGGCATGCCATGTGCCTGCTGTGGTACATGTTAATGTTGCAGTGTGGGAGTGGGCATCACCCAGGTGTCAGCCGGGTGTGCACTGACTATGTGGCTTGTGCGACATTTGCACAGTGAAGCGTCACACAGCCATTAAACAGAGCGACCAGAGCCCACTCAGGGAAACAAGGCAGAACTTCAAGACATACCGCTGGGGTAAAAATAAGGGAGAGAACACTCTGCCTGTTTCTGAACAAAAAAGGGGGTAGTTTCTATTCTCAGAACATCTCTAGGAGGAAACAAAGAAACAGGTCACAGCCCCCCCTTTGAAGCAAGGTTGGGCATCAGGAGTGAAGATTTCTTTCTTTTTTTTTTTTAAAGATTTTATTCATTCATTCATGAGAGACACACAGAAGCAGAGGGAGAAGCAGGCTCCATGCAGGGAGCCCGATGTGGGACTTGATCCCACGACCCCAGGATCACACCCTGGGCCGAAGGCAGGCACTAAACTGCTGAGCCACCCAGGGATCCCCAGCAGTGAAGATTTCCTCTTCACTGTTTAACATTCTCTATTACTTAGATAATTTAGTCTGTTACAAGTAAAATTGTCTTTTTCCTTTTCTAAAGACGAGGCCCATCTGACTCCAAAGCCCTTAATTACACTGGGGTGCTTTTGCCAAGCTGCGAGGGGTTCCCTCTGCTTTGCCCCTGCCTGGCGGCTGCTGGTTATCCTTAAAAAGCACCCACCATCTGTCAACCCAAGGCCTTGAAGGCGGGCTGGTCTGCTTGGGGTTGGGACGCAGGCCTCAAGTCCTAGCAGGGTCCTGGGCAGAGACATAGGTCACCCCCTCCTTTGCCCTCCCCCAGCCCTCTGCCCACTCACATGGCACTGGCCGTGTAGCTGGCGTCACCGCCCTCCACATACTGCACTTGGCTGGAGTACACGTGTGGGACAGGCACCTGCTGCAGCTGCTGCACCTGGGGTGGGAGGAAGGGCACACAGGAGGTCAGGGGTGGGCCAGCTCCTCTGCCTCCATCTCTAAAGAGCTGGTGGCTGTCCAAGCTTGCAAGGACACCTGGCTCCCCCAGGCTGCATGTCTGGACTTTCTGAATACATCCTGGACAGAGCCTGGGGTCAGAGGCCCAGGGGCCGCGGGCTCTGCCAGGACTGGGAATCAGGCTGAGCTGTGTCAGAGCCAGGGCTCTGTGCTTAGACTGGGGTCAGCAAGAGCAGGGCCTGACGTGGAGTGGGCTGAGAGTACCCCAGTACGTCCGGCCTACGGTGGGCGTGGAAGCCGGACCCCAGGGATAGAGCCAAGCCCTGGCACAGGGCTGTCACTACAGCTAGTCAAAGCCAGAGCCTGAAACTACGGACAAACAGGGCCTCGGGGGTGGAGTCTGCATCGAGGGAGGGATCCCCGTCTGCAGGGGCGGGGCCTGGAAACTCGGTCCAGGATGTCAGGGGCGGAGTGAGAGATCAGAGGTGGGGCCCCGGAACCTGGAATTACTGACAGAGCCTCGGAGGCGGGGCCCGAGTTCCCCACCCCCACCCCCACCCGTCCGTGGGAGCCGAGCCGGGGGCCTGGAACCCGCCTTGGGGGTGGGGTGGGGGTGGGGTCAGAGGCGGGTCCCCAGACTGGCCGGGCGGCGTTGGAGGAGGTGGTAGTGGGTGGGGGTCTCCAGGGCCTGCGGGGCCGGGCACGGGCCGGGGCCGGCGGATCCCGCCCCCGCCCGCCCGATGCCCCCCGCCCGTACGTCCGCCACCTACTTTGAGGGCCGTGGCGGCCGTGCCGAACACTAGCACCTGGGGGACTCTCTGGATCCTGACCCTCTGGTCGGGGCTGGCTCGGGCCGGGAGCCCGGGCAGTGGCTCGAAGACCACTTTCTGCTGCGGCAGGAGCAGGTGCGGGGGCAGCACGCCCACCAGCTCCACCCACTGCTCGGCGCCCGGCTCGTAATGGGGCGGCGGCGGCTCGGGGCTGCCTAGCTGCGGGACCTCGCCGCTGCGCGCGGGTGGGAGCGGCGCCGGCGGCTCCGGGGCCAGCGCGCTCGCCCGGGGCCCGGGCGTGGGTGGCCGGGGCGGCGGCTCCGGCGGCGGCGTGGGCCGGGGCTCCTGCTGCTCTGCCTTCCTAGCGGGAAACTGACTGCCTGAGCTCTGGAGGACAAACAGAGACACTGGGGGGTCACCCGGGGCGGGGCTTCAGGCCTCCGCCGCCCACCGGGTCGCTGAGCTCATGCAGCAACCCAACAGATCTCCCCCCCAGGTGTCTCAGGGAGGGGAGAATCCAGATCTCTCTCTTAGCAAACCTGGGCCCCTGAACTGCCAGGGGCGGGGGTTGGGGGTGGGGGAGGGGATGTGCCAAGACCGAGTCTGCAGCTCTGCAGCTCACAACCCCAAGTGGAGCCTGGAGCGGGGCTGGGGCCCTTGAGGACCCCCCGCTCCCCTCCCTCCCTGCGCCCTGAGGGGCCCGCACCCCTCCCCAGCCCAGCCCGGGGCCCCAGTCCCGGGGTTTGCCCGGAGGCAGGTGGAGGACACACGCACCTCTTGAGCCACGTGAACCGGCTGGAGCCCCTGCACTGTGAGCTGCTGCACAGGGCCGGCTTTGGGGGCCTGCGGAGTGGCTTGGACCACCGACCTCTGGGGAGGGAAAAGGAAAGTCAGACTCTGGTAACCGTGGGGCCCCAAAGAGGCCACCATTCTGCAGCTTTTCCCTGCCTGCCCTTCACCAAGTGCCTGTTAGATTCAACACCACGTTGACTTTGGGCTCAGCAAAGTGAGGCCCACCGGAAATGGTGGAACTGAAGTTGAACTTGGGCCTGAGTGAGGTAGTCCTTGCTGTCCTCCCCCCCTACTCTACATGGGTTCCCCCACACCCCCACATCCTTGGTGCTGCAGGGATCCTGATCTCCCTCAGGGCACACAGGGAAGGACACAAGCTGGGGGCAGGGGGTGGAGGGTGGGGGTGCTGCGTGGTGGATTACGGCTCAAACCCAGGCCTGGAGGGTCAGAGGGTCTGTGGTACCCGGCAGGAACATCTGGGAATCCTTCAGGGTGAGGTTTCTGCTTTCTTTTGGGAGAAGAATCTATGGTTTTATATGGTTTTCTGAGGGGTTTGGAACCCCGCACCTTGAGTGATAGCAACCAGGTGGCAGCCACCCCTTGCCATTTAAGCTGCTTCAGCTGCCATGACTGGCGACTGGCACCTCAGATCAATAGCCTCCTCCCAGAGGCTGGCCATGGATTTGGAGGTTGGGCCTCCCCCAAGCTCCTTAGGGGTAAGCCAGGACTCGGCCTTGGGACTTCCTCCAGGCAACTGGGCCCAAAGAGGCCAGGACATTTCTGAGTTTCCAGTACCCGTACAGTGCCAGGTGCACTTCCTATCATTTGCTGCTTTACACATAGAAAGCCACTCATGAAGACCACATTTCATCCCCCAGCAGCCCTGACCACCCTGCTCCCCTGGGCTCCTAGAGCAGAAGCATTATTTAGAGGAGGATGCTGAGTCTCGAGTGAGGTGGAAGCGCTTGCCAAAGGCCAGGGGTTGAGGGGCTGCTGAGGCTGTACCCCCATCTGCTGGGCTCCTGCAGACCTTCCCTGCCACAGCTCCCAGACAGTCAAGGAGGCTGCAGAGGCTGCCTGGCCAGGACCCCTTGCCCCAGCCACTGCCCGCCTTGGCCTGGCACCTCTTGGGTGACGGGGACACTCTGCTGAACACCATGGACCTGCAGCTGCTGCGGCACTGTGCCCGTGGGGGCCCCAGCTGTCTTGCTGGAGGAGCTGTTGGCTTGCACCGGTGACCGCTGCAAGGGAAGGAGACACGAGAATATGGTCTGGTTGCCTAGGCCCTGACAAAATCATTTTCAGGAGGGCCCTCCCAAGGGGTATTTGGGGAGGGTGGCAGGCCACAGAGATCTCAACCTCCTACGCCACTAACTGGCCAAATTCCCTGAATCGGAATTGCAAGAGTCCCTGCCCCAGTCACTCCGAGGCAAAGCTGGGAGTCTGGCCCAGAGGCACTGGGGGCGGGGCGGGGGCAGCCTCCCCAGTGCAGATGGCCTCAGCTCAGAGGCTGCCTGTGGCCTCCATAATCAAAGAGACTAATACCCCTGAGGTGAGGAGGGGGAGGTGAGGGAATCCCCACTTAACAGATGATGTGCTAAAGCACCAGATGGGAAGGTACGTCCAAAGGCCACACAGCTGAGTGGTGGCACCAGGCACGACCCCGGCCAGACTGGCTGCAGGTCCTCTGGGCCATGCTGCGGCACTTCATATCATTTGCTGCTTTACACATAGAAAACACTGGGCTCGGGAGGCTCTAGGGGCCTCGCCAGAGTCCCCCAGAAGAAATGGCTAAGCTGGGGAGGGGGGTCTGACCCCAAGCTCCTGATGCTACCACCCATGCTCCCAGCCACCCATGGCCTGCCTGCCTCCAATACCCTCACTGATGTTTGGGGGGATCCTCAGAGCAGGGCCAGTGGCCTCCTTTCCTTCCTGGGATATGCAGCCCTGAAGTGGAGGCCCAGCTCCACCCAGGTGGAGGCTGCTTCTTCCTCCCAGAGCTGGACCCAGCTCACTGCCAGTGGGGCCATGAATCAGGCAGCCAAGCCACTCAACCCGGGCAGGAGTAAATGGGCTTGAGGGGTAGGGACCCCTCCAAGTATAGTCTGGGGGTACATGGGGAGAGAGAGACAGGGAGGTCAGCTGATGGGGCCACCACCTACCTCAGGGGGCGAGTGCACCTGCTGGGTGCCATGCACTGTCAGGGAAACCTGGCCACCCTTGCTGCCTGGGGCTGTGCTCTGCACCACCAGACGCTGTGTGGGGAGAGCCTAGAACCAGGAGGGAAAGGACCACAGTTCACTCACAGCAGCCTGTCGGTTGCCATGAGCACCCGCTGCCAGACCAGGAGATGTCCTAGTGCTGTGCCCCTGTTAGCTCACAGAACTGCCCCAACAGTCCCGGCACAGCCCTGCTACTAATTCCACTTCACAGGGGTGACAGAGAGGCTCAGGACGGCAAAAGTGCTTGCCTAAGGTCCTGGAATCAGTAAGTGGCAGAGCCACAGGGTCCTATGCTGAGCCCCACCACCCTGCCCACAGGCTTCAGGGGACAGACCATCACACGCTCACAGTCCCTGTGCTGGCTACGGGCTCTCAGCTCCTAACCGGCATTGGGTTCTCTGCTTTGAGACACTGGGGCTGGACCCAAAAGCCACCTTCCTTATTGCTACTCCTCAGTTCTGTCTACTAAGATAACTTGTATGGGTCATCCTTTTCCGATGGGCCCTGACTGCCATGGTCTCACTTGCTGGAGGCAGCAGGTGGGGGGAGAGGGGCCTGGTTGGAGCCTATGTTGGTGAGGACAAATCTGAGCAGGCCACAGGGAGTTGGCTGTGTACCCTGGGGGAGGCTGTGAGGGCCAGGCCGGGCATGGCAGGCTTACCTGCTGGGGTACTGGGATGTTGGTGAGCTGGAGGGGTGACACATGGCCCGGCTTGGCCTGCACACTTGTCTGGACCAGCAGACGCTGTAGGGGCAAGGAGTAAAAACCTGAGCCATGCCAGCTTCCCCAGTGAGGCCTGGCCCAGGTGGGTGGAGGGGTAGCTGAAGCAAGCATCTTGATAAGAACATGTGAGCAGATGGCTCTGACAGCAGGGCAGGAGTGGAGGCCACAGTGCCCATGGCCACAGTCTCCACTGCCCCTCTCGTGTATCCTCCCAGCCCGCCCTCCCCAGGGGAGGGGTGTGTGTGTCCTACCTGCTGGGTGCCCTGCACCTGCTGGACCACCTGAGTGGGCACTCCGGTCTGGCTGGCTGTGGAGCCTGGGCTGGCCTCCGATACAGTCTCACTGGCCCGCATAGCGCCTTCTGTGAGGAGGGGTCACTGGGTCAGCTCTGCCTGCTGTCCCTGCCTCCACCCTGAGCCCAAGCCTGAACCCATCAGGATGGGACGATGTTGCCTGAAGCTGATCCCTACCATCGCTGGGCCTCTCCAAGAATCCTGCCTGCCTCCTGGCCAGCTCTGACACTGCCCATTGAGGTGAGCCATAAGGACCTATGATCCTAGACGTGCAGAAGCAGCCCCACCCCACGTCTTCTCATCCCAAAACCAGACCAGAAGGGGTGAATGAGGAGCCAAGATGCACCAGAGGCCCGAAGGGCTGGATCCCTTCTCCCAACAGATAAGATTTGTGGACTTCCAGTGACTGGCCCCCTACCCTGGGGTCTCAGCAGCCCTAGAAGGACCAAAATGCTACGGCCACCTTCCTCCTGGGACCAAGATGACTCCTGGCTTCCCAGGAATGGAAGATAGGCAAAAGGGTGACCCTACAAGGCCCTGCCAGCCTGTGGCCCTCTCCTTCTCCACTGTCCCAGCCTCCCTGTCCTCAGTAGGTCGGGGACAAGAGGGGGCTTGAGGTGGGCAGGCAGCTACTCACGCTGACAGGCAGCCGAGAAGAGGCAATTGTAGAACATGGTGCCCACCTGCCCCCACCCTGCCCCTGCCCCTGTCTATCTAGGAGAAACTGTTCTATACTCCTTACTCCTGGTCCACCTCTTTGGGAACAGCAGGGTGAGTGGGTGGCTTTATACCCACAACCTTGGGGAGCTAATTCCCCACCCCACCCCCAGGGATGCAGCTGTAGAGCTCCTCTGCTGCCCTCTTGGAATAAACACTGTCCTCCCAGTAGGCGTGGCCCAAGCAGAGCCTTCTCTGGGCTGGGGCCTTGCTATGAAGTCAGGAGGGGGGCTGGTACCCAGAGATTCTATCCGGCAGGAACAGGTCAAGTTTCAAGTACATCTCGCTGAGTGATTAACAAGGGAGCTGAGAAGGGGAGAGGCAAAGGGGGCAAGCCTCCAGAGTGGGGAGCTGGGCCTCAGCCATGTGGGGACACAGGGAGGGGGCCTGGCCAGGGCAGAAGGGCAGTTCCAGGTCGATGCAAGAACCCCGGGACTAAGTACTGGGCAGAGCTCATGAATGTGTTATGTGTTGGGTGTAGGGGAAGCAGTGGCCAGATGTGGAAGGTGGTGTTGTGGGGAGCCTCCCATTGGCCACATGTGGGACGGGCACTGGAGGAACCTCAGGCCTGCCTGGCCAGCTGCATCTGCAGCCAATTCCAGGAGACATCATTTCCAACGTTTGGCCTGAATCTTCCTGGGCATCCACTTGGGCTTCCCTGAGCAGTGAAGGATGCAGCCCCCACTGAGTTGGGCCCCCAGGAGAAACCTGAGAAAGCCCTTAGTCACGTGGGGAGCCCAGCACACCTGGGTGTCAGAGGGACGTGGGCAGCTAGGCCCATCCCAAGGAATGGCACCCAACCGAGGTGGCCTGTGACAGGTCTTGCCTAGTTCAGGGTGGGCAGTGAGTGAGTGGGGGGCTGGCCAGGAGGTTCAGATGAAAATACCACGGCTGATCTTTCAGTCGGTGGGACCCTAAGCAGCTGGGAGGTCTGGGGACCTGCTGAGATCAGGCCCCTGCCTGGGTGGGGGAAGCCCCAGGAAACAGTCTGGGATGGCAGGGACCCCCACATCCACCAGGCATGCCGGGGTTGTATCACGAGGATAAACAGGTGAGATTCCAGAGTCTACTGTCCGGATGAGGGGCTTCCCGTGTGTGGGTCCCTGTTTGCCTGCATGTAGCCCTCGCTGAGTGTGTCTGGGAGGGCGGGGTGTTAAGTCTGAGAGCCTTTCCATCTGTCTGTCTGCCTCCTCCATTCTGGGCATGTGCCTGAGACCAGGGAGGGCCCTGCAGTCTCAAGTCTGTAGTCAGGAAGTGGCAGCTGATTTCCTGTCCCTCGATCTGATGAGCGTCTCTTCCTCCCTGGGCCCTGCACTTCCCCATCGAGACCTACTCATGTCTCCAATACCACAAGCTATGAAGGGGAAGACTGAGGAAGCCCGAGAGGCTCCATTAGGATGAGCTGGGGCCCTACTCCTTGTGGACACCGGGCAGGGCCGTCTGGCTCCCTCCCTCCAGATCCTTTGCTCTAGGAGAGGACTTCAGTCGGGGGCTCCTGAGGGGGCTGGTGGGTCCTGGGTCCCTTGATCTTGGTTTCCCCATCTGTGCTGGGGATGCTGACAAACAGCCTCCCATCTTCCTCTCAGACACAAGTCTTCCTGGACTCCCTGGGACTCCAAGTGTGGGAGACACAGTGAAGAAAGGCTGGCCGCTGCTGCTCCTTCAGCCCAGCCCTATCTGCTGTGGGCGGGCTTGGTTTCACCTTCCTGGAGGTGGCTGCCAGGGCCCACAGTGCCCTCCTCTTTCTACCTCGAGTTTGGGCAAGAGTCTGGTAGCCTGTGAGGACAGGGGCTTATGGGTCTACAAGACTGTTGCTGAGCCTGGAAACTGAGCTTCTTTCCCATCACCTCCATAGACACTTAGGGCAGAGCCTATAAGGACCGGGCTGGATGAGCTGCCTGTGGGGTTGTTCCCAGCTGGCTTTCAGCCTGGGCTCCAGGTTTGGGCCCAGGGCCCCTCCCTGTTTCCTTCCTGAGTCTCCCTGGGTCCCTGATCGGCTCAGATTGCTCTGGCTCCAGAGGAGTCCCAGGCATCTTACCCTTTTACTGGTGTCAGTTACCTCCCTTACCCCCGCCATGCCTGAGATGAGCTCAAGCGGCTCTAAGGCCACCTTTAGATGAAAAGGGATGCTAACCCATGAGAGAGTCATGGAGGAATGCTGGGAACTCACTACAGGGGCTGGGAGAGGGGTCAACAGAACAGCAAGTGGAGTAACAAGGTACAGCCAACCTCCTCTTCCTCAGAAAAATTCGAGGAATCCCACCCAGTAACCCTCCGGGGGACAAGCTCACTGCCACCAGAACAAGGAGCAGTAGGGAAAAGAAAGTCCCCAGGACCCCTGTGAAAGACCATGAAGGTACCATCAGACCAAAGAAGGAATCCCGAAAGTCATACCAGCAGCCCACTCACTGCAGCACATAAGCACAGAGTAACCCCATGGTGATGGGGGAATTAGGGGGAGGCGGGAACAAAGGCCTCAACCTCTAAACCCTGGGGACTCCCTGGAGTCCATGGACCAGGAAGAACTGGGGAGGCTGGGCGGAGAGAGGAATGTGCCGGGAGTTGGGGTGCTCTGGGGCCTGGAGCCATGCGCCCTTTCCAGAGGACCCTGGACCTCCCCACCACAGATCAGCCAAAGCCAACACCCAAGAAGTCCATGGCCATTCAGATGCCCTGGAAGCTGACCAAAGTCCTCCAGCAGTGACAGGCAAGGCTTCCCACCTGCTCTCAGTTGCCCAGGGCTAACAGACCATGAGGGCTGTGACGGGTCAGCCCAGCCTTCACCTGGGTCTCATGCCACCAAGACTCAGTGGACAGAGCCCTGCCCTCAGGGATGAAGGGTTGGACATCATCATCATCATCATCATCACTTCAGGTGATAATGAATGTTAAGAAGAAAAATCAAGCAAAGTGAGGACACGGAGTGAGCAGTGGAGGTGGGGAGGTATGGGTGTCAGGGAGGTAGATCTGCACTGACACTAGAACACAAGGGACGAGTCACCAGGAGGTTTGGGATGGGAGTGCTCCAGGCAGAGGGCACTGCAAGTGCAAAGCCCTAGAAGCCAGACTGAGCCTTGTGGGTTTTGGAGCCGTGGGAAGGCCAGTAGGGCTGCAGCAGGTGTGGGAGGGGAGAGGGAAGACTGGGAGTGGGGGCTGGGAGGGGAGTTGGCAGGCCTCCCAGACCAGAGCTGAGAGGCTAGAAAATTGTCAGCAGGGGATACAGGAAGTGTGGAGCTTTTAAAGCCCTTCCCTTGTGGGAGGGGCCACAGGGGGCCACCTCTCGTCAGATGAGAAAGCCAAGGTCAGGGTGTCCCAGAGAGTGTCATCAGGGCCCCCTGCCACAGAATCATCTGGGGTGGGTTGTGATGGGCTCCCTCCTGGTCTCTGTGCGGGTAGACTGTGACAGGTGAGGGCAGAGGCTGGGCCAGGATGGGGGCCGTGGTGGTGGGAGAGGTGGTGGGGGCTGGGGTGGTTCTAGTAGCATTTAGGAGGTAGAGACAAGACATCTGGCTCAAGGATAGGTAGGGTAGGAGTCCATGCTGAGCCAGGACCAGGGGTGGTATTTATTAGAATGAAGAAGTCTCAAAAGAGGATAGATTAGATGAGGGGAAAAATCCAGGGTTCTATTTGGCCATGCTGGCTTCAGGAGCCCACTGTCCTGAGTGGATGATCACAGGTGGCTGGGCTTCGGGGCCACAGCCCAGGGCATGGACCACAACATGGGCACACTGTTAGCACCAAGGTGGCAGTGAGAGCTGAGGTGCTGGACGAAGGTCAGCACCTCTCCTCCTCTGAAGGGGAGGAGAAGGAGGCAAGAATGGGATGGAGACCAGGGCAGGGGGCAGTTCTGGGAGGAAGGGGACCAGGTTGTCAGGCGCCTCCCAGGGACCCAGGAAAACAAATACCCGAAGTGACCCAGCAGGAGGATAAGACAGGGGACTCCAACTGGGGTGCTGGGCAGGGGAGGGCAGAGAGCAGCAGAAGAGAGAGCATGAGAGAAGGGAGGGTGGATCACTCAAGAAATTCTGATTTAAAAGGAAGTGAAGACATGGGCAGCAACTGGATACAGGAACTGGGATTTCTGATTAAAATGGAGGTATTAAAAAATAATAATAAAAAAAATAAAATGGAGCTATTTCATCTCTGCATGCTGGTGGGAAAGGTCTGCAAGAGAGGGATGCGATGAGGCCCTGGGACTCACAGAGCCGGTGGCTGCTGACGACTGGGGGATGTGAGGCTGGCTCAGGGGAAATGGGATCCTTCTTGGTATGTGGTGGTGCCTGTCCGCAGTGAGGAAGGCAGTGGGGTCAAGGGTCAGGATGGCGGAGTGAGACAAGATGATGGAGGTAGGGGTGGGCTTCTTGCAGGGTGGGGGGCATGCTGGTGAGAAAACCTAGCAGAATAGCTGGGCAGTGCTGGGAACCTGCTGGGATGTGGGGCCTGGGAACCCTGGCCACGTCCATGGCTGGTACTCTCAGCATGGATCTCACGTGCCACCCCTCCAGACCAGTCCCTGGGGTAAAGAGTCACTACCCTGAGCCCCTGCAGGCCCCCACCCCCAGCCCTCTCTGGGGACCTCCACACTGCCAGGAGCCTAAAGGATGCTGCACAGGGCCCCAGCTACACCTGTTCTGGTCCCCTGGGGCCATGTCAGTTGCCACATGCCACTCTTTATTGTCCTATCTTCCTAAGCCTAGTTTTGACCTGCCCCTTCCACAGCCTCCTAAGATGGTTTTTTGATTCCCATCCCTTCCTTTACCACTCTGGAAAAACTGGGGTGGGGGGGGTCACCACATTCTCCCCCCTCCACTGAGCACACTGGAAACCACTAATGATGCCCAGTCCTGGCCTGAGCTCCACGTTCTCAAGGGAATGACTGCCTGTCCTGACCCTCTGCTCCCAGTTCCTGCTGCTTGGCCCATCTCCATCTTGGAGGGAAGTGGGGCGGGGGGAAAGATGGTCTGGGCAGGAATCACGGGTGCCACGACCTGAACTTCCTGGTCATTTTCTCCACGGCCATAAGGGGAGAGAGACCACAGCGAGAAACAGGGGTCCTTGGCCACATGATCATGAAATTGCCTAATCAATGGCCTTCCTTGGCCCCCGGGACCTGCCAAAACCAAAAACGTGGCACCTCCAGGAGGCCTCCCAGCTGACCTCCCTGCAGTGCCTCCGTGAAAGCCTCGCATGTATCCCCTGAGCTCATGAAGCCATTACCAGACCTTTACGGAAGAGGCAACAGGCAGGATGGCCGAGGGGCTGCTGAGAAACCAGGCTAGGCCCAGAGTGCAGTGGCCTGGTGCTCACCCTCCATCTCCCACATATGTTTGCAAACTTTAAGCCCACCACCTAGTCCTTTCCTCAAGTGGCAGTTTACTTGGGGATAAAGAAAGAAACAGCCCTAAGAGCTGCCCTGATGGAAAGGAGTTTAGGTGGACAGAAGCCTCACTGCTTGGCCTGACTACTCCTGCCCCAGAAACACCCCCCAAGTCCTGCTCAGGAGCCCCAGCAAGTCTGAAAGCTGTCATGCTGGGGAGGGCATCACTGTGCTCCCCACATCCAGGATGCCCATTCCCCAAACTCCTCTCCAAGTCATTACAGAGCACCCTGGCTCTGAGCGCATGTCCACTTACCAGACACGGTGACCACGATGTACTGCTGGGACGCCGGGGACGGGGTGGGTGCGCCGGCCGGCTGTGAGGGCGTGGGGGTGGCCGGAAGCTCCGTCACATATTGTTTCTGGCTGCCTGGTGGCTGTGCCTGGGGCTGGGGGCTCTGCAACTCAGTGACATATTGGGGTTGGGGGGTAGCAGCGGTGGCAGGCGGCTGGGGGGGCTGGGGCGCCGCTGGTGGCGGCGGCGGTGGCTGGGGCTGGGCCTGTGGTGGCTGGGATGGTTGCGGGGCTGCCTGTAGCTCAGTAACGTACGCTGGTGTTGCCATGCCAACAGTGGGGAAAATGATAATAAATAAGGCTTTTTTTTTTTCTTTCTTGGGAAGAAGCAGAGGAGGGGGAAAACAGAAAAAAAAAAAAAAAAACAAAAGAAGGAAAAACAAGAATTAATCTACAGGCAGAGGAAACCAGGGACAGTTCCTGGCTCCCTAGAGACACGTTTAGGTTCATCACTAACTTAATTAAATCCTGAGGCTGGTGGCCAGATACAACCAACCCATCACCGCATGGGGACTGGTTATGGACTGAGGCTGGTCTACGCCTCTTCCACTCATCCCTGTCCAGGACTCCTGCCTTCTTCCTTCCCAGTCCCTGGGAGGACCCCTGTGACAAAGGGGGGTGGGCGAGGGTGGGGTCTTCGGCCCTCGCCCAGAGACAAATGGCCCATTTCTGAGGGCTCCTGCAGACGGAGCACCATGTTCTCTACATTATTTCATCTTAAACTTTACAATAATCATGTCTGGGTTTGGGTTTGCTCTGGCAGATAAGGAGCTGAGGCTCGGAGAGGTTGAGAAACTTGCCCCAGGCACACAGCAGGCTGAGGCTGAACCCTGGGCATTCTGAGCACTTGAATAGTTGGCTAACTGCTGGAAGGCAAAGTCGGGGGGTGGGGGGGTGGGGAGCCATCTTCCAGCCAGCCTGTCCCAGTTCCCTATATGCCTGCTATTTGGGCTCGGATTCTTGGCTGAGTATCATTCCCAGTGGGGTGCCAGACAAGGGAAAGGTGTTTGAGTCCAAAAAGCCCTTATTCGGAAAGCATATTGTGGTTACAGGGGCTTTCAGGCCCTTGAATGAACCTTAATGGGTGACGACACCACATGTGAGCTCATCACAGGAAGAGTACCCTTCTGAGTCCAGGGGGACTGGGCTGAGAGCAGGCCCTGGCCACAGGGCAGGCTCAGCAGGCACTGCTGACCTCAGAATGGGGCTGGCCCAACCAGGCGGAGGCAGCTTTTCAGGATGCTAAGCAGTCATGTTCCCTCTCCCAGGTAGTGGGCTAGACACCCCGTCTGTCTTGCTCAGCCCTGTCCCTTCTGGCTCAGGGCTACCCTCTCTCAGCAAGTCCAGCCTCATCAGAAGATGAGCAAATGGTTTCCCCACTGCCCACACTAATGGGGGCCATCCCCAGCTGCTGAGTATCTGAGGACAGCAGAGCAAACACTTGAGTGGTTAAGAGGAGAAGCTCCAGCCCCCCTACCTTCGTGACCCCTGCCCGACCCAGGGAAGTATTTGACTTTGACAGCCCTGCCTGTGGTCACCTGTGACACTCCAGGGCCCAGTGGCCACTGAACCAGAGGCTATTCTGCACTAACCCTGGAGCACCTGTGGGCCATCTCACGCCAACAGGCGGCCCTCCAGCCACTGATGACTAAGTAGGATTTGCAAGGGGAAGGAGGGGGGAGAAACAACTGCTGCTGGTTGACCAGAAGCCCCAGGAGCCTCTGTTGTGATCACCTCTGCACCCCAGCCCCATGGCAGAGGAGCCATCATGGCCATTTCACAGATGAGTAAAACCCTGTGAAGAAGGGTGCCCCACAACTGGTAAGAAGACAATTTGAACCCAGGTCTCTCTGACCTCTGGATGTAGGCTCTTAGCCCCCGGCCCTGCTCAGTAAGCCAGGCACAGGGCTCGTTTATTTCTCACAAATAGGGAAGATAACATCTTCCCCGTTTTTCAGAGGGAGAGACCTGAGCCCCACCCACAGAGATTAAACACCTGCCACACATTAGAAAAAGGCATCTGTCCCCCAGCCCCTGCGCTCCCAAACTCCTTCCTGCCAGCCTCAGAGGGGCTGCCATCTGGGGGCTCCTCACACCATTGCGTCCAAACTCTGGCCCAGTGCAGGAGCTTGAGTCACAGCAACTGATCTGTGTCCATCTGCCTGGTGTCAGACCCACCCCAACATGAACCTTGACCTGTCTCTTCATTCGCAACCACGTTACTGACCTTCCCCTGGGACTCAAGTGTCCCCATCTGTGCCTGGGGATGGTAAGGACACCAATTCATAGGGCCGTCATAAGGCTCCAATGAGACAAGCAAGTAAGCACTGAGACACGGAAGTCACTATTATCATTGTCACTGGACAAATAACCCTGCCAGGTGGAGACAGAGGAAAGGGGAAGGAGACACACACATTCCTCAGGCTCTTAGAAGGAGGTGCCCCAGGGATGCCTGGGTGGCTCGTGGTTGAGCGTCTGCCTTTGACTCAGGGTGTGATCCTGGAGTCCCGGGATGGAGTTCCACGTCGGACTCTCCACATGGAGCCTGCTTCTCCTTCTGCCTGTGTCTCTGCCTCTCTCTCATTGTGTGTCTCGTGAATAAATAAACAAAATCTTTAAAAAAAAGGCGGGGGGGAGGTGCCCCAGAGTCTGCTCTTTGAGCTAACCCCTCCTTGGGATGATTCTGAGTTCAATGGCCCTGGGGGAATTCTCTGAGAAACCCTGGCCTGGGCCTTGCTGGGGCCTAGCAGAGCTTGCTGTGGTGCCTACCACAAGGAATGGACGTTAAAAGCGCCACCCTTGCAGGTGCTTTCTCCTCCCTGAGGAGGAAGCCTGCCGGCCCCATCCCTTCCACTCAGGGGCAGGGGAAGGAGGCGACAGTAAAGGCTGAAAGGCCAAGCATGAAAAGGAGAAGGGGAGATTAGTAAAACAGTTAAACCCACTTCTCTATTGGAGGCCTTCCCAGCACTGTCCCTGTCAATCAGTCCCCAGGAAGGACAATACCGAACACCGAGTGTCCCACAATTACTCGGCCAGGGAGCCCTTTTCTATCCATTTGTGGATGGCTAAGTCAAGCAGAGTTCTGCAGGGTGCTCTCTAGAGAGAAATAAGTCACAAATATTTAAACAGCATGAGATCCTTTCCTTTACAGAGCAGGGCACACAAGACAAGGGAATCGCTCAGCAAATCTTTCCTTGGCAATGAAACTGCCAAGAAAAGTGCCAATGGCTGCACCTATCTTCAAAGCCAATAGCTGTTTTGGGAGAATGTTTGAATCAATTGCTTTAGATCAGGGGCTGGCAAACTTTTATAAAGGGCCACAGCCAACATTTTTGCCTTTGTGGGCAGACAGCCTCTGTTGCAACTACTCAGCTCACCACTGTGGTGTGAAAGCAGCCATAATAACATGTAAACAAATGAGCGTGGTTATGTGCTAATAAAACTTCATTTATAGACACCTAGATTTGAATTTCATATGGTATCACATGTCCTGAAATTTTACTCAGACCACAAAATATTCTTGTAATTCTTTTCCCCAATCATTTAAAAGTGCAAAAATCATGCTTAGTTCACAGGCCACACAAAACCAGGTGGCAACCCCTGTCTGCTGACCTCTGTCTTGGATGGAGATTCTATAATCAAATGGTTTACATCTTGGAACAAGCCCTCCTAAAGAAATAGAAAGAAAACTCCCTTTCCTCACCTGTAGAATGGCTTCAATAAGGAATTTGTAGAAGAACAGGGAAATTAGATCTAAAGATGTGGGTTTCCTTCATCCTCTACATTCAAGTGAGTCTAAGATTGCTCAATGATTTCTTCAAAATAGATCCTAAGGCTGGATACTTCTCTCCACCTTCATCAACACCCTCCTACACTGAGCTGTCTTCATCTCTTGCTTGGACTCCTGCAATACCCTCTTTATTAGCTCCTAGCTCCACGCTTGCCTCTATAGTCTTTAGGATTCTTTGAAAACACAAATCCTATCTTGTCACTCCTCTTTTCAGAAGGCTCGACGGCTCTTATGACAGAGACAAAATAAAACCAGAGCCCTTCCCAAGCATCATGGGGCCTTGAGGTCCTTCCTATCTCACTTTGAATGTTCTAGTCAAACTGGCTCTTGCTCCTAGAATGCTCCAGGCCTCCTGCCTCAGGACCTTTGCACCAGAGTCTTCCACCTGACTGACACACTCACCTCACCTCTGCCCCCATTCTACATTGCTGGCTGCTTCTTATCATTCAGGTCTCAACTTCTATGTCACCACCTTAGGTCTCAGGTGTGCTTCCCTCTCCCACCCCCAAGCACTCTGAAGCACAGACTCCTTTTTTTTTTTTTAAGATTTATTTATTTATGATAGACATAGAGAGAGAGAGAGGCAGAGACACAGGCAGAGGGAGAAGCAGGCTCCATGCCAAGAGCCTGACGCGGGACTCGATCCCAGGACTCCAGGATCGCGCCCTGGGCCAAAGGCAGGCACCAAACCGCTGAGCCACCCAGGGATCCCCTGAAGCACAGACTCCTGTTTTATTTTCTTCCTGGCCCTGTATTTCTTTGTTTGTCTGCTCCCTTATTCACAGTTTCCTTTCTCTCCATGGTCAGAAATGCACGCTCCCCCAGGTCGGAGACCTGGCCTGCCCTGCCCATCACTGCATCTCCAGCTCTTTATAACACTGACGGGCACATGGTGCGGGACTCAAGTTTTACTGTCAAAAAAGTATCTACACGCCAGGAGCATACTGCTAGTGAGTGTCAAAGGCCGGTTTGAATCTACCAATTGACAAACCCTTGTGAATACATTCCAGCCTCCTGCCTCCTGCCTCTGCCAGCAACAGGCTTATGCAGCAGCAGCAGTAGGTAATGCCCCCTGGTCATTACAGAATGGGCTTCCCAGCCCAAGAAGAGCATTATGCATTGTGCAGCTGCTATCTGCAGGCTGCAACCCTGGGGGAGCCTGCCTGGCCCACCCCTGAGACATTGAGCTGTGTATGGGGAGGGAAGGGCAAAGACTTCAGCTCTAGAGACACCATTCCCACGACACCCACATCCCTGGCTCACCCAGCTGCCTCCTGGAAGCCTTGGGGCTGAGTCTGGGCGCAGGCCCAGGAGAATTTAGCTTTTTGGCTACTCTCCTAAAGCGGCAGAAAGGTTCTTCAGGAGCAAGGCAAATGACACTTTCTCACTAGAAACTGGAGTCCTGGTATCCAGCTTCCTGGGATCTCTCTCTCATCTCTGTCATCAGCCCACACAGCCCAGCAAGTGAGTCAACCTTTAAAGCCACTAGGCTCTCACCCAATTCAAAATGATAAAAATAAATGCAAGTGGTGTAATTCAGAGAGCTGAGCAGGAAGGGCCAATCATGAGAATGACAGTGGTAGCTAACGGAGTTTGAGCAATTACTATGTATCTGATACTCAACATGCATTCCTTTATGGAATCCATAACACAGTAATATGAGCTTAAAATTATTACCAGTGATCACTGTCCCTAGCTTAGATAAAAGGAAATTGAGGTCCAGAAAAGTAAAATAACTTATCCAAGGGCACACAGCTAGAAAGCAGGTGATTGTTTCCAAAAGCAAACCAAAAAAAAAAAACAAACAAACAAACAAAAAAAACCAAAAGCAAACCAAACCAGTGCCCTCTACCCTTGTCAAAGATCCTTCTGGGCTTGGACCCTTCAAATATAAAAGTTATGGGGCAAGAGGCAGGTGAGGGTGGGGACAAGCAGTTAACAAAGCTAGTTGAGGGACACCTGGGCGGCCCAGGGGTTGAGCGTCTGCTTTGGGCTCAGGTCATGACCCTGGAGTCCCAGGATCAAGTCCCACATGGGGCTCCCTGCAGGAAGCCTTCTTCTCCCTCTGCCTGTGTCTCTGCCTCTGTATCTCTGGTGAATAAATAAATAAATCTTAAAAAAAAAAAAAAAAAAAGCTAGTTGATTGGTAACATCACCTTCTGCTCAAAGTCTGCCTTTCCAACAGGTGGTGGTGACCTTTCAGGCAGGCTTGGTATTTCCAGGTTTGTAGTGAAAACTAATCCCCACCCTTCCTAACTTTCAAAGGGGTCCTGCCACCTCTCAAAGAGGACTCAGTCTAGAAAAAAGTCCCTGGAGAAGTGAGGCCCGCCCCACCCCGCAAATTCTTGAGGGAAAGCTTTAGCAGAGCCTGAAATGATCCTTCTTGAAGTTTATTGATTTTAAAGGAAAACGGCTGCAGTTTGCACACCACCACTCTGCTCTGCTGATGCCAAACTCCAAAGCAAGACAGAGAATAAGCAAAGTGGACTTGGCCCAGCTGGCTGTTTGAAAAAAATAAGTTCTCCAGCAAGCTGGCAGATCCTGTTGCCCAGCAAAGCGGTCGCTCACATTCTCCTGTAACAAACATGGAACACTTCCCTTTCCCTCTGATCTTCATGTAGTGCTCCTGCCCACGTGGCTCTGGAGCCTGGTAACTCCTCAGTGACATGTGACCCAGTTGACACCAACTTGATTGACACAAAAACATGTGTCCCGCCAAGAGAAGCAGCTTAAGAAATCTAAGAAACTTCCTCGGGCGCCATTTGCTTCCCATGCCCAGAAACGGAGACCTTTATGGGCAGAATGGTTAGAAATCATCCCCACTCCAAAAACAAGTCTCTGCCCAGGGATAACACGAGGTCTAAGAGCAGCCGCCAGAGAAGCAATCAAGTTTCTGTTCTTCTGTCTCAGTCACCCAAGATCACTCCTCCCTGCCATCGGCTCCGATTTCTGCAAACCAAATCCTCCCGGCTAAAGCCATATTCCCAGTCCACAGCTTCGCCATGAAACTTTGGTTCTCTTTGCCTTCTCTCAGGAAGAAGACAGATTTAGGAACAGACAGCAGTGCTGAAATCAAGATTAGCTAACAGTTCCATCAAACCACATTCAAAAACAGGACATGGGGTAAAAGTTCAAAGATGAACCCTAGAGAAAGTCCTGAAAGGAGTCAAAGGAGTCCCTGAAATGCAGAAAAGGGACGATGGCAAGGCTTCTCCCCACTTTACAGGATGGAAAACTGAGGCCTCAGATGTGGCAGATACTGTGTACTAGGAATGACCTGGGTGGGGGCGGGGGGGGCAGGCGGTTTCTAAAGCGACGCCGCACAGGTGGCCTCCCATCTCTGGGATGCGGTAAGGCCCCAGCGGCAGCCGCCGCACCCGGTTCTCCCTCGCACCCGCCGGCCCCGCCCACACCTTACGACCTGGCCCCGCCCACTCACCTCGGCCCCGCCTCGCCCCTCCCTCGCTCCCATTGGCCCAGCCTCCCCAGGCCCGCCTCTCCGCACCTCCCAACATATAAAAGCCCCCCGCCCCGTCCGGCCGACCTCCACTCGCCGCCGGCCTGCTAGCGCCCGCCCCTCGCGGGGGCTGGGCCCCGGACCCCAGGGGCGGGTGGTGTCGCCCCAGCCGGGCCCCGGCCCCCTCCCCCACGGCCCCGACAGTCGCCGCCGCCATTTTGACCGCCCGCCCCTTCCCCCCGGACTATGATTACAGCGACACCCGCCGCCCGGGCCCCGTCGCCCTCCCTGGCCCGGCCAGCCACCGGGGCCGCCCCGGTTACCTCGGCTTCTTCCTACTTGTGTCCGCAGAAGGGCTTTCCAGAGGTCTCGGAGGCGATGTTGGGAGGGGGACGGAACGTGCCGGGGTCCCCGGGCCAGGCGGGGGGGGTGGGGGTGGGGGTCGGCCGGGCGGTTGTTGTTGTTGACTCGCGTTGCCGGGTTGCTTGGTCGCCACGACTACCGTGGCTATGGCGCCTCCGTTTCCCTCACCGGGGCAACTGTTGCTACCCACCCTACACACGTCACGGGCGGGGGCGGAGTCCCGGGTGATTGGCGGCGCCGGGAGAAGTGATTGGACGGCGCTAGGTCCTGCTGCGAAGCTATTGGTCAGAAGTCACGCTTTTCAACACCTCCTCGACTTCTCGGCGCTCTGATTCATCGCTCTGCATGTCCATCAAAGGAAACTGAGCCCTCAAAGGCAGAAGAACCCGTCACTCCCGCAAGGAAGCGGCCGCCTAAGAATAAAGGGGTGGGGTCTGTGAGGTCGGGATTGGTTTGCGGCTGTAAAACCTGCCTTTTGGTTCAGCTACAGGGACGTCAATCTATTCCAAAGGTTTGCCGCGCTCTCTGGCTGGGGACCGTGCGCATGCGAGGAGCAAGGCCAGCTGGGAACGGTAGTCCGCTCTGCGTACTTCAAACGCCTTACCAACTATAAAAGGCGAGGAAGGAAAGCGCTCTTCCTTCAGACTTCTCCCTTCCCCAGTGGGTCAGTTCCTGCCCTCGCACGCTTACGTCACGGGAGGAATGCGGTGACGTGCACTGCTCGTCTGTGACGTCGCGGCGGGGGCCGGGCTAGGGGGTTCGATGACGTCACTGGGCGCTCTTTTCCCCCTACCCCCACTGCCCTCCGATGGTGGGATGGTCTAGGGGAGCCGAGGTGGAGTTCGATTCCTGGCTCCCCTACCCGGAGCAAACTTCCCCCGCCACCAACCCCCATCCCCGCCACCTCTGCGTAGACGCGGCCTCCGCGCCAGCTCCCGCCTCCCCGCCCTGTTGGGCAGGGAAAGGTCACTGCTGCCGGGACGGCCGCGGCTATCTCGCTCCCGCAGGCGGCGCGGACGGCCCTGGGAAAGGTCTCCCGCAGGCGGAGGACTTAATTAGAGGCTTCTACCGCGGGCGATAAGCAAAGGTCGGCGCCCAGCCCCTCCCGGGGGAGCTCGGGCTGTTCCGCTGGGCTCCACACCGTCCCCCTCCCACTCCCCCAGCCCCGCCACAGAGCATTCCCCCCTCACCGTCCTGCTTGCCTCAGTTTCCCCAGGGGACAAGAGATAGAAGCGGGTCAGGATTAGGGTTAGCGCACCTCGGGCGCAAAAACTCGATCATCGGGATAAATGACATTCTAATATTTTTTCCAATATTTTTTAAGTGTCAAAATTAATGGGAAAAAGATAAATCCGTGATAAGCAGAATGCCAAAATGTTAAATAAAGATAGGACCCGGGATCCCTGGGTGGCACAGCGGTTTGGCGCCTGCCTTTGGCTCAGGGCGCGATCCTGGAGACCCAGGATCGAATCCCATATCGGGCTCCCGGTGCATGGAGCCTGCTTCTCCCTCTGCTTGTGTCTCTGTCTCTCTCTCTCTCTCTCTCTGTGTGTGTGAATATCATAAATAAATAAATAAATTTAAAAAAAAATAAAAATAAAGATAGGACCCGCCAGGACTTGGGATTAAGGGGAGGTGAGTCAGGCAAGCACAGGATCAGAACTTTTACTTTTTTGAAAACATTTTGATCATGGAAGTTTTTGCATTAATTTTGACTTTTCAAAATATATTAGTTATCTTAATAAGTGAATGTTTTGGCACCCCGTCCCTTAAATATTGCACCCCAGTCTCCACTAGACACAGTGAGGACAATAAACGCAAAGGCTCAGAGCCCATGGTTCTAATTCCACTTCTGCTGTGTGACAGTGAGACAAAATGGCTCTAGCTCTGAGCTGCTGTTTCCTAGTTCAACCAATTTCACACTTCTTGTGTGCAAGGCCCAGGATGTAAAAATAAAGCAGACAAATCCTCAGACTTTGCATTCTGCTAGGGGAGATGCAATTATTAGTGAAGGTAATGCATGAGATAAGCTTTTAAGGGCTGTGAGAGCAATATAAGAGGGTGTGGGGGAGGAGAGAGAGGGTGCTGTAGCCTCTGTCACCTGAGGAGGGGTCATGCAAACAGAGCCTGAGTGGTGAGAAGAAGCAGGCCCCATAAAACCCAGGTGGAGGGAACTGCAGAGGCAAAGGCCAGGGGGGGAAGGAACAAACATCTGGCTGGGGCAGAATGAGCAAAGAGGGAAGTGGCAGGAGGTGAGCCAGAGAAGTACAGGTAGCCAGATGATTCCTCAGAAATCCAACAACCCAGCAAAGTAGAATATTCCCCCGACTAGACAGGTAAGCAAACAATCTCAGGTGGAAGTAACTCCCTCGGGATCACACAACTGGAGGCAGCAGGGCCCAGACAGCCTGTCTCCTTTTTTGGGACTTCCCATTGTGCTTTGATGCCCCTGGATATGACCCTCGATGGAAGAGGAGAAGTAGCATCAGTCCTGATCTGCCTAGAAATGCCAGCTGAGCCCCAGCCCTGACAAGTCCCCCCCAAGAATTAATGAGACTTCCAGGCATAAGTTGCCCAAGAGAAATCCCACCTGGCCGACCAAGTCATTCAGACCCTGTAGCTGCTTCTGAGAGACAGGCAGAGTTCTCAGGGCTAACCCTGTGGGCAATGGGCAGGGAACTAGAAGCCTTATTTGCACCTCTCACCCCTTTCCCCACCTTCCTGACATCTCTCAGCCCCAAGATGGGCACAGCCAAGCCTGGAAATCACTTCTTCAATCACAAATAATCATTATAAGACTTTGTGGCAGGGAAGGTAGTATGGGCTAGAATTGTTCTTTTTTTCTTTTTTTTTTTTTTTAGGGTTTATTTATTCATGAGAGACACAGAGAGGCAGAGACACAGGCAGAGGGAAAAGCAGGCTCTATGCAGGAAGCCCGACGCGGGACCCAATCCCAGGGCCCTGGGATCATGCTCCGAGCCAAAGGTAGACACTCAACCACTAAGTCACCCAGGCATCCCTAGAATTGTTCTTTAAAAAATATATATATATTTTTTTTAATAAATTAATTTTTATGGTGTTCAATTTACCAACATACAGAATAACACCCTATATTTCTTTTTTTATTCATGAGAGACACACAAAGAGAGGCAGAGACATAGGCAGAGGGAGAAGCAGACTCCCCCCAGGGAGCCTGATGCAGGACTCAAACCCAGGACCCTGGGATCACGACCTGAGCCAAAGGCAGATGCTCAACCACTGAGCCACCCAGGTGCCCCTGTTCCATTTTTTTTTTTTTAATAGTGTTCGCATGGGTATATAGAAATAAAGATTCCCTTAGCTCTCCATTCAAAATCTGTGCACTTGGGGCACCTGGGTGGTTCCATCGTTAAGCATCCAACTCTTGATTTTGGCTCAGTTCATGATCTCAGGGTTGTGGGATCCAGTTCGGTGTCAGACTGCGCTCAATGTCTACTTGGGATTCTCTCTCTCTCTCTCTCTCCCTCTGCCCTTCCCCCTGCTTTCTCTAAATAAATAAATAAATAAATAAATAAATAAATAAATAAATATCATTTTTAAAAATCTGTGGGAGCACCTGGGTGGCTCAATCAGTTGAGCATCCGACTCTTGATTTCAGCTCAGGTCATGATCTCAGGTTCATGAGATCGGGTTCTGTGTCAGACTCTGCATTCAGCGTGGAATCTGCCTGCCCCTCACTCTCTGCTCCTTCCCCTATTCACACTCTCAAGTAAATAAATGAAAATAAAATCTTAAAAAAAAATCTGTGCACTTTATATATGTTATGCTCCAATTTGAAAGTTAAAAACATACACATACATTATACCATTGGAAGCAGCTCTTGACCAATTCCTTTCTGAAACATTGGTAATTAAAAGTAAGGAATTAAGGATCATCTTGCCTCCCCAGTATTAGCTGTAGTGGTCACTAAACAGCCCAAGAAGAATGCCAGCTTAAAAATTTAGGAGGAATGGGAGAATGAGAAAAATCACCATTTTGCAAAAGCCAAGGAAATAATTGGTTTGGGCAGTGATCATCAATAGGCATTATAAAGCATCAAATGAAAGGATGATGGGGAACAAAATATTCACAGGGTGTTGGATGGCTCACTGGGTATTGGGGAGTGGACCTCATCGTGGAGGCCAGACTATCGTCAGACTTAGCTGCAGTGAAGCTCAGTGTCACAGTAAAGGGACCTGTGGCCTCATTAGTTCACAGCTTCCCCTATGACACATCTTGCCAAAATGTTAAACCTGACTCATTAAGTCTCTCCACCTAACATCCAGTTGGCAGAAAGTGGAAAGAGAAGAGAGAGAAATTAAACGACAACATCAGGGGCACCTGGATGGCACAGTCGATTGGGTGTCTGACTCTTGGTTTTGGCTCAAGTTGTGGTCTCAGAGTCCTGGGATCAAGTCACATGTCTGACTCTGTGCTCAGGAGGGAATCTGCTTGAGATTCTTCCTCCCTCTCCATCTGCCCCTCCCTGCCTCCCCTAAAATAAGTAAAATCTTAAAAAAAAAAAAAAAAAAAAGACAACATCAGGAAGCAACAGACAAATCCAGGGGTGGCGTGTGCTACAGGACGACTGTCCCTGTCTCTTCGAGTCAGTCCTGGAAAAAAAAAAAAAAAAGAGTGGGGACTTTTCTTAGACCAAATTGTTCTTTGTGGCAGGGGGCTGCCCTGTGCATTAGAGCATATTGAGCATATAGATGCCAGTAGCACCATCCCTCCCCAGGTATGACAACCAAAGATGTCTCTAGAGAGAGCCAAATGTCCTTGGAGATACTATCCTAGAGGATGGTACAGCAACCGACAGAAGGACATGAGGTTCCCAGCCAGCAGCCTGCAAGAGCCAGACATTCTGTCTTACTTAAGCCGGTTATTGGGTCTCTGTTAAACTGAGAGAACTGTGACTTGGTAAATTCTGTTCCACATTTTTATATTCATTGAAAGTTTCACATCAGGTAAGGATGCTCATTGAAGTGGGAAGCTGGAGGCAATGTAGGTGTCCATCTTTCTAGAAAGATGAAATCAGAAGGCTGCATGTTATAAATACTAAGCCAACAGTGAAAACAAAGTAGCTCTTAAGAAAGGGAGTGCTAATGGGGTGAAATCCAGACACATCATAGCGTTTTAAAATACAGC